ATATAAGCTGCGGCTAAAGTTGCAAAAATAAGAACCTGAATACCACTTGTAAATAATCCAAGAAACATGACAGGTATAGGAACCACTAAAGGTACTAAAGAAACAAGAACAACAACTACTAATTCATCGGCTAATATATTTCCGAAAAGTCGAAAACTAAGTGATAGAGGTTTTGTGAAATCTTCTAAGATGTTAATGGGCAAAAGAATTGGAGTTGGTTGAATGTATTTACCAAAATAACCTAATCCTTTTTTTGTAAGACCCGCATAGAAATAGGCGACTGACGTGAGTAAAGCTAAAGCAACAGTAGAATTTATATCATTCGTGGGTGCGGCTAACTCCCCATGAGGTAGCTGTATGATTTTCCAAGGTAAAAGAGCCCCGGACCAATTAGAAACAAAAATAAATAGAAACATAGTCCCAATAAAGGGAACCCAAGGGCGATATTCTTCTCCAATTTGAGTTTTGCTCACGTCTCAGATGAATTCAAGGACATATTCAAAAAAAATTTGACCGCCAGTCGGAATCGTTTGTGGACTCCGAACAGCTATTGCAGCTGAACCTAATAAAATAGCAATTACAACCCAAGAAGTTATAAGTACCTGGTCGTGGATTTGGAAACTTCCTATTTGCCAATAGAAATGTTGACCCACTTCCACACCAAATATATCATATAACCCCTTTAGCTGGTTGATTGAATATGATAGAATATTCATATTGTCCTCTGACAGAAATATAACTTAAAAAAAAATTATTTTGATTCAACGAACTCTTTCTCGACTTGGCTACTTTAATTTTAATTTTCTATTTTGGATACTGATTAATTCCATAATATATCCTGGTATTTTTAACAAGTTTTTGAGATTCAAGATCTAGTAACCGATATAAAGTTTAGTAAGTTGATTTTTCATTTTATTATGAATCAGGGTTTCTTATATAGCTAGAACGGCCTTCGCAAATTGCAAATACTAATTTGGTAAGAATTAATTGAATTGAAGCTATAGCGTCATCGTTTGCGGGAATCGAAATATCTGCAAGATCCGGATCACAATTTGTATCGATTAAACAAATCGTTGGAATTCCCAAAGTAATACATTCTTGAAGAGCCGTATATTCTTCGTGTTGATCAACGATGATTACAATATCTGGTAATCCTGTCATATATTTGATCCCACCTAGATATGTTTGCAAGTGAGATAATTGTCTCTTCACCACCGCTGCATCTCTATTTGCGAGACGAGCGAGTCTCCCTGCCGTTTGTTCCATTCTCAAGTCCCTGAATTTATGAAGTCTCGTTTCTGTCGTGGAACAATTCGTTAACATACCGCCAAGCCACTTTTTATTAACATAATGACAGCGAGCCCGTATTGCAGCCCGTGCTACTGAGTCAGCTGCTTTATTTTTTGTCCCAACAATTAAAAATTGTTTTCCTCTACTTGATGCGTCAAAAACTAAATCGCAAGCCTCTGATAAAAAACGCGCAGTTCTAGTAAGATTTATAATATGAATACCTTCACATTTTGCGGAGATATAAGGCGATATTCTAGGATTCCATTTCCGAGTACCGTGACCAAAATTAACTCCCGCTTCCATCATCTCTTCCAAATGGATGTTCCAATATCTTCTTGTCATTTCTCCCCACACTTTCTCTTTTTTCATTAAATTAAAGAGATGAGGTATTCTGAAATAAATTATTGTTCCAACGGAACCTTCTTTTCTACCGCTCTACCGCGAATTGGCTGTTGATATACAACCCCAACCATAAATTCCTTTCTATTCGTCATTTTTTAATTTCTTTATTTTATTACTAAATTAAATAACCATAACAAATACATAAAAGATAAAAATGATGAATTTCTTCTATTTTTGAAACCCCCAAAATCATTGTTGTTTTGATCTATCACAGAAATTCCTTGAAAGACAAGAATCAACTAATTCTCGGTGGTAAAACAAAATATCTCCCATCTTTCTCTCGAATCGATTCTTTTTTTTTGTTTTCAAAGGAATGTCCTTATGTTGACTTGAATGGTGTATGAATCCTTTGAATCCGGTACCAACGGGTATCATCCCCCTAGAACAACGTTTTCTTTTAGTCCTTTCAACCAATCGATACAGCCTCGGAGAGCTGCTTTTGCTAAAACTCGAGCAATTTCCTGAAAACTGGCCTCGGATATAAAACTTTGAGTATTAAGAGATGCTCTCGTTATTCCCAATAACGTAGCTCGGTAACATATCGCTTCTTCTAAAGCGCGTCCCGTTCGTTCCGCCCGAAACAATCCAATTAGTTCTCCAGGCAAAAAAACATTAGACATTCCATCTTCTGAAACCAAGACTTTTGATGTTATTTGACGTACAATAATTTCTATATGCCTATTATGGATCTGCACCCCTTGTGATCGATAAACCTTTTGGATCTTGTTAACCAACGAAATACGACTTTGCGCTATAGTTAGCTCAGCCCCAATCAAGAATTCCCAAGGACTTCCAAAAATTCTTGTTATACGTTCGTTCCAACCATCAATCCTCTTTTCGAGATTCATCGATATTGAATCAATCAAACGAACTTCTAAGACTTGTTCCACTTTTGGAAGGCCTTGCGTGATGTCACCAGACCTAGATTTTTCATATATAAATGTAACTAATGTATCCCTTTCATTAATGATTTCCCCATAATGACCATGAACTGTTGCTCCTGGAGTAGCCAAATAGGGCTTAGCCGATCTTATTACTACAGAGTCAAATTGAACAATTAGAACTTGACCCGATTTTAGGTGCGTTCCTTTTTTTGTTATACATACATTTTTACAAACAAATTGTCCAAGATAAATTTTTGTGGATATCTCTTCACAAAAATTATAATGAAGAAAATACCAATTCAATTTGAATGGATTCAAAATGATGTTACTGCATGGATCGGAATTATAAATTCTTCGAGTTTCATCTATTAAATAATATTGAAATTGAAGTAGTTGAAAGGTTTGTTTTAAATTCTCGAGTTGCAAATAATTAGTTACCAAGATCTGATTATGAGTTATTAAATGGTAAAATGAAAAAAAAATGCGCAATTTGAAGGGCTGCTCCTAACGGACCAAACGAATTCCTGATTGGAATTGGGGGATCTTTTTTAATTGATTCTTTGTGATATTTTACACCCTTGAATGGTAATGGGCCTAGTCGAAAACAATTGGATGATGACAAAATTATAAAAAAAAGGACATTCCTTGTTTATCCCCAACAACGTACGAACAGTTCCTTGATTTTGGTTAAATGATTTTTGAAGTTTTGTTTTTGAATAAATGGAATAAAATGGATTCATATTGGTAGGATCTGCTCCCTCTTTTTTTTTGGATGATGGATCATTCCTTTTACCAATATATGAAATAGCGGATTTCGCTAAATTGACCTTTACGAAGTCTCGAATCATACCATTTGTTCTTACTTCAACAAAGGAAGTGCGGGCCTCTTCGATAAAAGAATCTTTTTTTTCTTGATTCCAATTCAATACTAAACAAGTACGTACTAATTGCATATTTGTGTCAGAAATTCCTCGAGTGACTTTGCCATTTCCATAAAGGATATAATTGACAACTCGAAGTTGCACATTATCCCTTTCCTGCAAGAAATCCTAAGGGAAAAGTGTTGCTAAATTGATATCGTCCGTTATTTCATATGGGACTACGGGTCGAACCAAAACAAAAAAATTTCTCTTAGTAGGGGTGATCCGTTGGACATGAATCCAATTTTTCAAATTTTGTGAGTCCTTGGAATTTTTCCTGCTTGGTGGGATCAAAATGCCACTGTGTCGGGATATCTTATCTGCCTCCCCAGGAAAAAGGATATCTCCCGAAAAAATTTTAAGTTCAATTTTTTTTTTCCTCTCCATTCTGACCACTCCAGCTACTTGGCTTCTTGTATTTAAAGTAATCCGCGTATCGACTCCAATGATACTGTTGTTGCGGACCAGTATGGACGAAGATCCGGGTAAGATATGAACTTCTTCAGGGATGAAAAAAAACCGATCGACTTTCATTTGGTATTTTGGTCGAAATTCTTTGACTCCTCGATACTCAATCAAATCTTCTTTTTTAACGATTGAATGCATCTCTATAGTCCCATATTTAATAATTCCCGAACTTTTTCTTCGGTATCGAGGATCGTCGAAATAAGCAAAAATACAATTTCAACGGAAAATTCCATTTATAGGTATTTCAATCGAGATACCGGAAAGGGGCATTAATTCTTTTTTTCGTTCTTGACTCGCTTGAAATGGAATAATGAATCTATTTCGTCGTTTCTTTGCCAATAAATCCAGATTTTTTGCAAGATATATGAGATTACAATGACCGATTCGATTAAGTTCTGAATAATACGGAATCCTATCCTGTTTTTTACTAAAAGAGTCCGGTAATTTATCTTTTACTTGATTGGTAGTGACTGAGGACTTCGAAATAGATATTTGTTCGAAAGAAATAGAATGAGTGTTCATTTGATCTTGATCCTTGGAGAGCGAAAAGGGGACTACACTGGATCTGTACGGCTTTCCTGATAATATCCATAAATGGCTTGTTTTTGGTAAGAGATGAACATTACCATATGTAAATTCGGGTGCATGGTACACATCGGTACTCCAGTGCATTTCTCCTTCTGAATCAGAATAAATATGTTTTCTAACCCTTTCCTTAAAATTTTGCTAATTTTGCTTTTTCAGTAATTGATCTATCATAAGACTATCAACTTTTCACATAACGGTTCCATCATATGACAATATAACACTCACTTTTAATCTTTAGAGTGTAAATAGTTATTCTGAAATTTACAAATACGGAATTAGATATATTTTGTTCGTCTTCATTAAGATACTAACTCCATTTCAAATTATTCGGAATTACAATTTATGTTAAATTATTACAAATAGGAGGTTGTAAAATATTTCATTTTTCACGCATATGCTGTATATTTGGGTTGAAATCCTTAGAGCCCATACCTAGCCCAAAAACCCAAAAAATGAGCATACGACACCGTTTCAGTTCTGTTCCAAGTACAAAAGCGCGCGAAAGAAGATTTTTCCAGGCAACTCAACTGTTCTTGTGGCCGCCTCTTCATCGCCGCAAATTTTCTTCCTCCTCCGCCGGATTTCATCGCAGCCGTAGTAATTGCCGTATTTTCCGATTATCCGGTAACATTTCTATGCTTTCTATTGAACTTGTTATTCTTCCATTTTCCAGTATCAAAAGATCTACGAAACTTTAATGCGAAATTTGATTAATTAGATTTATACGAAGTAATTAATTTCAAATTGAATTTCTTGTCTTATTTTTTGTTCGTTATTTGAGTAGTAAAATGGGGTAATTGAATTTTTTTTGGAGGTTATACAGGTGAAAGGGGGGAAATGGGGCCAATACAGGTTAAGTGTAACTGTGGTGAAAACAATTGTCAAGAATGGGCTATCATTGAGTTGCAAGGTGTTATCGAAGCTCAACCTCAATTCCAAGATTGTCTTCAAAACCTTGAAATCGGACGACTTTGCCGTCCTTCATCTCAGGTATTGTATTGTTTTCAACTGGTTGGAGTCGTTCAATGATCACTCCCCAACATTAAGATGTTCGGAAAAAGTTGTTACTTTTAAAATAAAGAGGATAGAAATGACTTAACTATTATAAAAAGCCAAAAAAAAAGTTCATTTTCTATGACTCTTTTTACTATGACTTGTGAAGTGTTTCCTAAGAATGTACTTAGTAAGAATTAAATTTGCATGTCAATTGGAATTTGGAAACCCTTTAAGTCCTAGGAGTAACATTTTTTGTGTGACATATAGTTTGGTACATATTGTTTAATTTGTATAAGTGTGAGGTGTGACATTGAATTTTTGACATTGATTTATATTGTATCCTGCAGGAGACATACACCTTTACAATCGGGTACCATGAGTTGACAGGATCAAAGGTCAAGCTGAAGAAGCCACTTTTAGTATTGAAGAAGGTAAAGCATTCTGATGAAGAGCAACGCGTATGCTCCAAATCATCACCCGCAGTGGAGTTGGATGTGATCGGAATCATTAGACAGAAGATTTTGTTTAAGACTAGGCCAAAAGCCCTCATATCTAGCAGCAAGAAGGTTTAGCTTAATCTCATAAGAATGTGTAATAGTTTGTTGGGATAAGTTTTCATTGTATAACAAGTTACTGAAATTGTAGTGAAACTTTTCTTCTACTTATTCAAAGATTATGATGATTCACATTACAGTTACTGAGAATGTGATATGGCACTTTGGTGCACTCCCAGGGTACCGACTTTGCATAAGAATGGAAGGTAATTGCACCACGTCATCTCACCACACAAATAGAGCCATACATGCTGGATTACTGGTAGACATTATGCAGAGGAAGCATACTTTATCGACTTTGTATCGACTCTAAAGACATAGTGGAACCAATATACATACACTAATACTCAACAGTCATGTAGAATTAGCGCAAGACAACAATAGAACCCTGCATGAATTGGCATTGACGTTATTAGCTATCCTGCATCAATCAGCATTGGTATTATTGCAGCCATCTGCCCTGAAAGTCCTAATTACCTATTATCCGTATTAGCTGAGTTTCAGCAAAATAAGTTTTGTGCTTGCATCATGAACTTCAAGTAACCTTGTGACTAACAAGCACCTCAAAACACAAAAGCGCAATACTGAGGCAAGTCCCTCATGTGGAAACATGAAAACATTTGAAAGGAAAACTAAAACCAGTCATATTAGGGAACACCGTGACATCGCTCAGATAACAATGTAGAATATAAATCTTTCATAACCGAAAAAAATCTGGAGATAACATAGACATCTGTAGCGATTAATAAACGTCTACTGCCAAACATATTAAAACAACTCAAAATTGCACTGTTCTTAAACTCAACCCAAAGCTAACACTAGGTAAGATGAATTGTTTATCGCTTTCCACCTCCACCTCCAAGCTTGGGGCCTTTAGGTCCAGCACCCTTGGATGCACCCTTTCCTGAGACCTTCTGGGACTTAACCACCTCGGCTTTCTTTGCCCTCTTTTCATCTTTAGTTTTCTTGATCCTTTCCTTGATTTCACTATAAAACCAAATAAAAAAAATGGAAGATTATGACATGTACAAATGGGCGTCAAGTTTCAACAGACACTTGAGTTACACAAGAATAAAACTAACCGAAGAGCAGCCTCTCTGGCAGCATCTCTAACTTCGGGCTTCTCAGTTCTCTTCTTCTGGATGACTTCCAAAGTAGCACCAACAATAGACCTTGAGTAAGGCTTCTTGGTGGCTCTTCTCCTCTTCTTCACAGCCTCAGCAGAAATATCCTGCAAAATAAATAAAAGACCAAAACTTGATGAGTATCAAAATTATCATAGATAACAGACAAAACAGGGCATATACTTGAACCTAATATTAGGTGCACAAAATATATAAGAACAAAGAAATGGGAGAAAGAGAATAGCAACCAACCTTCTTGTGCTGCTTTCGGTACACAGCAGTCCAGCAAAGCTTTGCTGGCTTGAGACGGTTGTGGAAATACCTCTTACATTTGGAGTTAACGAAGAGGAAAACCTATATTTGGCAAATCACACATCACTAGTAAGTTGACCAGTTTCTAGTAAAAAGCCTGCTATTATAACAAGTTATAAATATACAACTTATCGTACCTGTGAATCTCCACGAACAAATCTGATACCCCTACCTGGATAGATCTTGGCGCCGCTGAATCGGCAAAGCTCAGTCCTGCAATGCAAAGAATAGGCACCAAAGTTAACATACATACATAAAAATAGCTATATAGAGCAACAAGATCTCTCATGGTTTAATATCATCACTTCAGATTACAACAAAGATATAAAACTTACTTCAGGAAACAAATTGAAGAAAAAAGTATCATTACCAGCATCAACAATTATGAGACAAAAATAAACTAAGATCGATTTTTCTCTCTTTTCACACATTCTAGATTACTAAGATTATTTACTCTCGTAGACGACCAATTTATAGGATTCCTTAAATCATCAGTAATCACCGACACAATTGATCTCTAATTATTGCTCAAAACTTTAGAGCACCACAATCATATTGCCTATGATTCACTATGAACAAACCCTAAGTGAAAGCTCAAACAAAAGTACATCCAAGGTAATTCGAGCCCGGGTAATATTTCAAATCCCACAAATGATCAAACACATAGAGAATAGGGTTGTAAAAGTCCAATCAAAACATAAAGACAAGCAAATTACATTCCCTGACTATCATTTCAAGCTACAGGAAGAATGCAATGGTCTTACCAAGAGCATGAACCTAGCCAAACGAGCATATACAACCATTAGATTACATTCTCATTGCTCGCATAATGAGTTTGGGTAGATTAATTCACATTCTTGCAGTGAAATGTCAATCAATCAAACAATGACATAATTCATTAAATTACCAAGATTATCTACATGAAAATGGGGAAAAATGCTCAGGTTAAGTAACAGATTATAGTCCAATCAACATCTTCAACCTCAAATCAAATCAAACGACAAGATACAAAACTCAAACTTTTGGACCAAATTATTCACAAATCGATGAATTTGATTATAACATTAACAGATTGTACAGCACGAATTCGCACCAAATAAAATCAAACTACAGAAATCAAAGATCAATTAACAGCAGAAACTTACAAATTTCATACACATAAAGATGGATAAACGCAGGGAAAGAAAGAGAGGAGAGAGAAAATTACTTGAGAACCATGGTTGATGATGAAGTTGTTGGTGGGAAATCGCCGCTGTGGTTGCAGAAACCCTAAAGAGAAAATATATTGATGGTATGGAAATGATAACTGGTTATAAGGCAAAAACCCTAATTTATTTTTGGGCTTCTTTTTGTAGGCTTTAAGTAAGCCTCTTGGGCTTTGGGTTTATACTCAACCATCGTAAAACCTAATTTAGTCTCTGGGCCTACCCCCAATTTTTTTATTTATTTTTTTATTATTTTTTTTTTTTTGGAAGACATTCCTAAAAATAAAATTAAAAAAATTAAGATAACCCTAAATTTTTTTATTTCTTTTTTCAATCACTACTTGTTATGAAAATGAAACATTTATACTAGATTATACATTAAACTTGTCTTCTATATTTCTTTCACTTTAATAAAGTGATTAGAGTACCTCTAATTGAAACAATTGTAGCGGTTTCAATATAAAACCATATTCGTAGGTGTTCATTAAGGCCTTTTTTCTTTCAGTTCTAGTTATGTCCAGTTCCTAATTTCCTTCTCTCATAAATAATTCATTTTAATTCAGCTCAGCTCTAATCATTTCAGTAAATCAGAAAAGGCCCTACGTATAGAGAATTCGATCGATATAAACTATGATGTATGAAATTAGTATGTGTAGTATTTTATATTAAAAATAAAAAGAATCAAATAGTCAATCATCTTGCAATAAAAATTTAGCATAGATACCTAAATTATTGTATGGAGCAAGAATTATTGTCTTTTTTATCACCATTTCTTAATGGTATTTCATAATTTAAATCTCGTTTTATAATAATTATTAGTGACTGAGTGACATTCATCATTCAATCTTATTTTTGTAAATTTTTCTTTTTGAAAGAATTTTAATTTTGTAGATTGTTGATAAATTATATTTTTTTTTTTTTGCAAAAGTTGATAAATTATATTGTTATATAATAATTGTTTTTTGCAATTAAAAACACATTTTCAGACATACTTCAATGGTCAATTTTTTTTAATTAACATTAAGATAAAGACAAAATTAACAACACTTAAAAAAAATAATGATGGGTCAAATCAGTGTTACGGGTGAAATTTATTTATTCGGGGTCAACTCTAAAAAGTCTAGAGGAGTCGGTTCAGGCAAACGTAGAAAATCAGAAAAATAACACCATTTTCTCTCTCTTCCTCCTCCTTACTCCTTACCCAACGATCGAATATCCACTTTTTTTTTGTTAATTAGCTTACGGGTTGCGAGATTCAGGTAAATCCCATTGTTTTATTTCTTAATTTAATTCTGGGTATTAATTATCCATTATAAAAAGTTTAATTTATGAGAAGATGGCATTGATTGAGCAGTGAAAATGAAGGATATTTTTGCAAGATTTGTTTTTTTTGGATTGATTTGATTGCAAGAACGAGTTTATCAGAAATTTTATGTTATTTTTATGCCTTTTATGTTTATCTTTGTCAATTTTGTTTGTTTTGTGATTCAGCTTATAGGTTTCATTGGTTTTTGCTGGTTATTTGATCTTTTAGTTAAAATATGACTCATGATTTAGAAAATATGACAAAACTGCGTTATTAATTGTGTTTAAAGTGTAATAATGTTATCGAGTTAATTGTGGTTTTGTGGGGTTAAGCTTTTATGCTGCAGATGTGTAAAATTTGGTTTTGTATGTACACAGAAAGCATAAGCTTTCTGATTTCTGAAGTTTGGTGATACGGAGTATATGTTTGTAGAATGTGTTGTTGATTGGTTAAGAGCTAATTGCAGAAAAAAAAAATGAGAACTTGATTGTTAATGCTCTTCATAAAGCTGGTTAAGATAGCGCCATTCTGGACTACGATTTATATGCTTGCTGTGATGCTGTAGGCTGTTTTTATCCTATTACATAGCAATTCTGTAATGGTGAAGTTTTAAGGAAAGACATGGAGTTTGTGGAGGAAAAATAAATTTCTAAGTTGCATCATTATCTGTTTTTGATGGGTAGCAACCCTTATACTCACTTAGAATATGTTTGGTATAGTGTTTTTAAGAGGAGGAAATGGGATCAATAAATTGTTCCATTACATAGTCTTTGGTAAGAGAGGTAGGGTAACACACTCTAATTTGTAAAGGTTCTATTACCACCATTTTGTTACCCCTTCTAACCCTATGGTAACAAAGTTATATTTCTCCTCAATCCTCAATTTGATACGAGGGATTCCTTTTCTTAGGTGTACCAGACAACCAATAATGGTAACAGTTAATATTACCCATTCACCCATTCCTCTTCTTAGTTGTTTCCATTCTATTTCATTTCCTAGATTCATACCAAAGATTCACCCTAGTAACTTTTCTATATGGGTGGGTGTGGGGGTGTGGGTGTGGGGGGTGGGTGGTTGGAGGGACGGTGGAAGTGGTGGTAGGACAGTTGTTGATGGTAGGGCTCGAGGCTGTCTCAAGGAATATCTTATATCACCATTCAGCAATTATTATGTATATTTGCTTACATCCTCTAGGTTGTGGTGATCCTAGTAGATGTGGGGCTTTAAGTTTGTAAACAAAGACATATTTTGTGAATTTCTATACTAGGAACCCTTTCTTGTTTTCAGATTTGCTTTCCTGGCCTTAAGCGGTTTTAAACTGTCGGTTTATTGTTTTCATAGTTCACTTCATCTGTCTTAGATTAGATAACAGTATTTTTTGGATGTCGCCATTATCATATATTGTATCATGTAACTATGACTTGTTTGAGTTGCTTTTTCTTCCATTTGTAGTTTACAATTGAAGTGTTTGTTCTTTTATTTCACATTTCCACTTTCACCTCTTAGCCCTAAGGCATTGTTTGAGTAGATTTGAGATAAAACCCCCATGCAGAGTTTGGTTTTCTATGTTTATTACTAGTTTTCTATTTGTCCTCTGGCAGAAGTTTGCTGCTTTTACATGCTTTGATCTGCATTGCATTGATATTTCAAGAAGATTGATATTTTGGGCTCCGTCGAGTAATGAAGTATGTCTTTTCCACTCCTCCTTGCTTTCAGATTAAATGCTTCTGAGAATATTGTTGTTTGTTATTAAAATTTGAAAAAGGATACTGATTTATTATCCCCATTCCAATTGTTGATACTGTATATTGGTTTTCTGGTTGCCATCGTGTTGTGCTGTCTGTCTGTGGCCTATTTTATTTAGTACTATGCAGGGGGGATTTTCTGGTTATTGAGAGATTTGGGATCCATCCTTTGGCACAATTGCTTTCATATAATATTTTTCATATTGTAGTTCTGGTAATGGCTTTCTTTTTACTGTGCTCTGCACAGATTAAGGGATTGAGAAAGATACTAGAACGTTTTACCAAATTGAGCTTTAAACGGAAACTATTGACAAAAATGGTAGCGTGGCAAAACTATTTACCAAACTAAGCTTCCAGGGTAAATCGCTGTCTCGGACAGCGTTTTACCTTCTGTATTTTTTTAAATTCAGTAGGGCATAAAACGCTGTCTCGGACAGCGTTTTATCCTTGGGTTTTTCTTAAAAAAAAATTCAACTACAACTATTTTATATGTTCAACATAAAGCGCTGTCTCAGACAGCGCTTTATGCTTGAACATAAAACGCTGTCTCAGACAGCGCGTTATGCTTGAACATAAAGCGCTGTCTCAGACAGCGCTTTTCTGCTGGAAACAGCAACCAGCATCCAGGCAGAAAACAAGCTTCAGCAAACAGCTTGCATGCTGCAGTCCTCCAACAGCCACCACAACAGCCAGCTCCACAGCCCTACCGTCCATCGTATCTATTCACATGCAATTTAACAAATCCCAACAGAGTTAACGCATTAGCAATTAACCAAAATGTTAACGATCAAATGTTCCAAATGTTATTAAATCAAAATGTTCCAAATGTTATTAAATCAAAATTTTCTATTACAAAATAATTCCTCCATCTACGATTACAACGAATTTCAGTTAACAGTCATGGGTCCTCTGAGGGTCTCGATGGACACGTTGCCCGGTTATGGCCCTGAACGTGACAACGACTACATTTGCTCGCGGGCCGGTTAGTCTCATCCATTTCATTACGTATGCGCTTTGACCTTGGTCGCCCTATTCCACGCAACATGCTCCCGTCGGGAATGATTCTGGGACCGTTATAGGGCGTCCAGGTTGTCTCGCAAGGGATTGGCCAGAATTGCGGCGCGTATGTGCTCGTGTATGCCTCCGATTGCAGCACCGGGTCAACCCACGGCCGCTCTGATAGTGAGTACGTTGCACATACGGCTAGAACGTGAGAACATGGGAGGTGAAATATCGTAGGTTTGTTGCAGGTACACGTTCTTTGGTACCCCGTAGCATCCAACCACATTTTTACTTGCACCGCAAATGAAGCACACTCTCATTCGATGTAATTGTGGTGTAGAACTGATTCCTCTGTATGGAATACATCTTCACCATTTCTTGGAGCACTTTCTTACTTTCGAACCACATCCCCTTCTCAAATTCCCCCCCGGAACAAACGACGTATGACTACCCGATTTGGCCCAATCCTGATCAACTTCGTAGTTCTCGTTCACCTGACTGAACCAAGGAATGGGAGTTCTAACCAGGGGCTCGCCCACTTCCATCCGAGCAGGTTCTACATCCATGTTCTGAAGTCCATCTTCCTCCTCTCCGCTATCGGCCTCATCATTTGTGTACACATCATACACAGAAAGTTCGTTATTCACAATATCTTCAAGATGATTCGGCGCATGCTGAGACGGTGAAGCCTGACCATCATCTTGCGTAGGCGAATAACTATGCAATTGTTCTGGCCGAGTACTTTGTTGGGTACATATAGGCACCGTTTCCACATATATTTCAGTGGGAACACCCTTCATTGCAACAACGTTCCTTAGAGCTGTCACATGCTTATTCGTAGAAACCGGTAACACTTGAACCCCATTGCCGGTCTCAAACCTCATTTTAATGTGTACGTCAACGGTCATCGGGTCTGAACCAATACTACTATGAACCTCATTCATCAAATCATTCATAGTCATGTTCGGTTCTAGTGTTAGTGGTTCCATATTTCCCCCACTATACTCGACCCGGGGTCCATCAAACAGAATTTCTCCTCCCCACCGGCATAACAAAACTACATTTTGTGACGCCATATTCTACATAACCAAAACACATTTTAGGATTATCGAAATCTAGAGCGAGGTAAATTATCAACACTGAAATAAGACTCTTCTCACCTATAACAACTTCACTTTCAACAACTTCACCAATTTCAACAATTTCATGAACAATTTGAATTATTTCAACAATTTCAACCTAAACTATTTCAATAATTTCAACAATTTCATCTCTTCTCACCAATTTCAACCATTAACAACTTCAACATTTTCACCATCATCAACTTCACCAATGTCATGAACAATTTCAATAACAATGTACCACATCACCATCAATAATTATCAACAATGTACCACATTTTCATTAATAATTAGCAACAATTACATGCAATTGACATGAATTAACAACAAGTAAGAGCAATTACATACAATTCACAATAATTAACCACAATAACTATGCAATTACACTAAATTCAGTTTAGGGCTAACCACGAAATTGAGTGAGTGAGTGTGAGAGGGAGGAGGGCAGCAGCAAGGTGGCGGCAGCAGCGGTGGCGCAAGGGTGGGCGGCGGCGGCAATGCGGGTGTTTGAGTACGGTCGTGGTTTAGTGTGAGAGGGAGGAGGGAAAGCGTTGAGGTTGAGGTTGAGTTCTTGCGCATTCTGCTGAAGTGAACATGCTGATATATGGCCATGAAACGCTGTCCCGGACAGCGTTTCATTTAAAAAAAAAAACAGGGAATAAAACGCTGTCTCGGACAGCGTTTTACCCATTGAATTTTTTTTTAAAAAAAAACCCAAGGATAAAACGCTGTCCGAGACAGCGTTTTATGCACTACTGAATTTAAAAAAATACAGAAGGTAAAACGCTGTCTGGGACAGCGTTTACCAGTTGAATTTTTTTTTAAAAAAAAAACCAGGGGTAAAACGCTGTCCGAGACAGCGATTTACCCTGGAAGCTTAGTTTGGTAAATAGTTTTGCCACGCAACCATTTTTGTCAATAGTTTCCGTTTAAAGCTCAATTTGGTAAAACGTCCAAGATACTAACCAATATTGTCACAGGTAGTTGTATGACGTATTTGGGAAGGGTTTAGAGGCACTAATTCTTCCTGACCTATTGAAAAGAACTCTCCCTTCCCCCATTCTCATGGCCTACTTTCTATCTTGCTTTGCGGAGGTTAAGGGTTTAGGAGGAAAAGATGTGAAAATTAAGAAAGATTTTAAAAACTTTCATATTTTCATAAATTGCATTAGTATTTAACATGCTCCCCTGTGTTTCTGCTGTCATGATCTCTGTTCCTATGTATGTGCGTTGTTATATTTTACAACATTGTTGTGAGTCTTGTGACTCTTGTTAGTCTATTTTACCCCATGGTATGTGAAGTAAGGGATAAAACATCTTTTTTACATAGTGATTTTTAATTTGGAGAAAACAGCAGACAACTAGAATAACATTAAGTTCCTTCTTGAATTACGATATTCTCTCCACCCCATGCATGTGTTATGTTACTATTTACAATATTACTGTTAGTCTTGAAGGTCTTGAGATATGAAAGTGAGTGTTAGTTTCATTTTAGGTAATTGGTGTAAAGGCCATGTGATGTAAGGAATTAGACAATTTGAGGAAGTCTGAGATGAAATGATTCTTTGGACCCGAAATAATACCATAGATAACTGCTCCATTCCCTAGTTTTGAAATCTAATTTTTAGTAATTCACTTGTTGCTGTCTATTCTTTCTGTGTTTTTGGGCCGATTTCTAACATACTTTTTACGTGTCAAAATATCTTCTTCAACACTTTTAGTTTTGCACTATATATTGACAGCATGCTAGTCAAAATGTTGCTTTTTTATTTTTTCAAAATAACAGAGGAGGATTGTTGATTCAAAAAACTAATGCAGAATCTTCATTCAAGTGTATGTAAGAATCTAATCATTTTGAGGTATGTGCTCTTATCAGGAATAGAGGACGTGTAAGGTGGGATGAAGCTAATTTGGGAGACATTGAGAAAAATAAACCTGTAAGGCAAAAGATCACTGAGCCAAAGACGCCCTATCACCCAATGATTGAAGATGATGGTAAGTCATCTAAAATTAATTCTCACAAGTGTGTCTGTATCCGCATATTTTGGGCATTCACTTTAGGAGCTAAACATTGTACTGTTGGATTGTTTATGGTAAAGTAATGTGATACCTGTTTTGGTATCTAAGTAATACTCAATGTACACGTGATACATGCCATGTAAATGCCTAAACTTCCTGTTTATCAAACACTTTCGCATGTAAAGGAGGTGCAAACAGTATTTTTTTTACTCTAATAGTTATTTGATGCAGCTGCTCGAGCATACCATAAAATATTTCTTCTTGCTCAAGTGTTTCTGTTTCATATTGTTTCTTCAAAAGGGTTCAGGGAGATTTTTTTTTTCTTTTTCTTTTCTGAAATAAGTTTTGTTTCTTTATGTTGCTGGATTTTTAATCAGTTCTGTATATTTTTTACTTGTTTAGGTTCTTTGTCCCCTATCCGTAGTGCCTTTGATGAGTGTATTGAGGAGGCTGAACGTGCTGAAGCTATACGTGATGCTTTGAATGATGTTGCTTCTTCTAGTAGCAAGAGATCTCATCGACATGGTGGCTGGACTTCGTCAGAGGATGAGGGAGATGCTATGGAGCAGGATGATGAAGGTATTGTTCCTGGTTCATTCTCAGCTCCTTTTATTTTTGCTTCTGAATTTTTGTCTGCAGAATTTGTCTCTTGTAGTTGATTGCTTACAGATACCTCCACACTTGCAGCCCATTTAGACTGCCAGCAGTAGAGATTTAATTAATTGTCTAGTGTTTACTAAATTGTGGTTCCCAGTCATTATTAGAGATAGTGATTGAACTTTTCAATTCTTCATGTCTTGGGCTAAAAGTAACAAGACTGCATCAATGTGTTTGTTAGAAATCAGTAAATGAGCTCTTGATTTTTGGTGTACACATTTAGTTCAAAATGTGATGTGTGGATCTGCCTTGCCCATAATGGATGAGGAATTTAATAATATCATCTTTGTTGAGATTAGCAGCAGGCCGGTGGAATTTTTTTTGTTGTTTTTACCCCTTACTATTTTTTGATCTGGTTACAGAAAGAGTGCGTTTTTTTTTTATTTATTATTATTTTTAAAGCAGGGCAACTTAGCCAACCTGTGAGGAGAGGAAGAGGAAGAGAGAGAGAGAGAGAGAGAGAGAGAGAGAGAGAGAGAGAGAGAGAGAGAGAGAGAGAGAGAGAGAGAGAGAGAGAGAGAGAGAGAGAGAGGGGGGGGGGGGGATCTTACTTGAGTCCGCTGATAGTGGCTTCATCGAAGAATTCCTAGTGTAAGAAGGGGCATGTCCCAGTATTATAAGTAGTCCAAAGATTAAAAAATATTTCATACTATGTAATACCAGTTGCATTTCTGATAAGATTACAAGTAAAAAGGTATGATGAGAGAAGGTTATTAGTCCAAGTATGGCTTGGATAGGCAGGAATGATTGGACGTCTTGAACTAGTTTTTTTTACGAAAACAATATGAGCTGGCAGTAACCATGTATGTAGACTATGTACGGTGTCTTACAACTTCTTAACACTGGAAGGCAGTCCACTGTTTCAATCTGAATTTTATTTTCTGGACTGTCAGATTCTGATTCTGAGAGGAGTTTGAGTTTCAAAGAGCACAGGCGAGCCCATTATGACGAGTTTCTGAAAGTGAAGGAGCTTCGACGCAAGGGTTCTTTCGCTGAGGAAGAATCTGATGAGGATGGAAACATTGACATCAAGAATGACTCATCGTCATTGAGTCCTGCAGTTAAAGCCATTGCCATACACGAAGGCAAGCCTGGTGCAAATGGTGTTTAGGAGCTGCAAGAATTAGTCAAGTTAATGCAGTTTTGTGGCTTGGTTAAATAGTATACTGTTGTTGATGCAATGGTGCTGTATATAGACCACTTGTAATACCTCAGTTGTCGGATATATGTTGCTAAGAAGGGATGTTTCCTTTTTCTTCTATGTACTGATAGTCTGATGCACAAATTATGACAGTCCAATTTCCTAACTGTCATTTGATTCTAATTTTGATTTTGGTATTAATGTAATGAATACTATTTTTGATATCTTCAAAAAAAAAATTACACACTTCGTATTAGCTGTACCTTTTTTAGCTCTAAGCCCTTAATAAATTCATTTAGATGCCTGTTCTCTTTTGGTCTTTTACCCCTCAAAAGCTTCTGCAAGCAAAAAACTTTCCAAAACTGGAAATTTTCTACTAACTATAGGTCTTTTGGTGCATTACTACATACGTACATAATTCACAATTAAGGTGAAGATGACAGAATAGTGTTGAACACATCTCTGTTTATATCAACTTACACAAGAATATATTGGAGTAGAACTATACAAGTCTAAATATACAGTTTCCCTAAGTTGTATGATCCGCAGTATATCAGTCTATTAGAGAGTCGGGCAACTTTAGGCATATGTATCCTCTTTGCAAATCGAATCAAACCCTTGATACAAAGTAAGTCTTCAGCAGGCCACACTTACTGAGAAAGGCGGAAATGTCTTGGAAAGAGAATGCGCAATAACTTCCCTTGAACATGATATACCAAGACTCTCATTCACGATTGATAAAATTCCTACGCCAAGATGGCGGAAGTCAACTTTCTCATCTTTGATATACATATAAAGCTAAGCTCCTTGTTTTCAACTTACTTTACATGGGTCCTAACAAATCTCAATTGACAGCAAGTACAAAACAAATGATAATAGCTGTAATAATGAAATGCAACAGGCAAACCACCTTCATCTACTTCACCACTTTGAGCTACCTTGGATGAATTTGCCCTAGGGAAGAAAATATTTAGTGTACAGCATTCATCACCTACGGAATGCATTGCTCTCATCTGACGCTCTTCCCTGACGAAAATGGGAACGACGACGGACACTTTCCTCAATTGTTGAGCTCCCCCCTTTCTCAGCACCGTACACACTCTTCTGAACGGAAGTTAGGAACGACTTGCCCTGGGAACTGCCTGCTTGGCTAACTTCACGTGCATCATCGTCAGCAGCCTTCTTCAGTCGTTTCCATCGTTGCTCTTCATGTGTCTCAGCATCCATTTGCATCTCTCTCAACCTAGCAGCCCTCTCTTCTTCAGAGAGTTGAGGAGCCCTGCCTCGCCGCCTGTATGAATCCTGCCTAGGTGGCTTAGATTCACTGTCTTGGTGTGACCTACCATTGTCATGGTGTGACCTACCATTGTCTATTGCCTTGTGAACATATTTGTCTTTATGATGGCCTAAGTGGGACTCTGAATGCGTTGCTCTCTCGTTTCCCCTCTGAAACCCGTTATCTCTATTTCTATCTGATCTTTGCTTTACAGGGCTTCTGCGCTGCTGTTTCTCACTTTCATAGTCTCTGTGGGAACGACTATGATGTCTAGTTCTGTCTTTAGAGTCCTCATCAGAATGTAGATGTTCTTTTTTCTTGTTCTTCCTTTTCCTATCTCTTTCTTCATTGCTATCACTTTCCGTGTCAGAGTGATGCTCTTTCTTTTTGTGCTTCATCTTCCTTTTCCTTTCTCTCTCTTCATGACTATCACTTTCAGATTCGGAGTGATACTTGGATGATGAGTGTTTTTTATGTTTTGATTTCACCTTTTGGCGCTTTTCATCATGCGATTCACCATCTTTCTTCTTTGTTTCGACCTGAAACAAGAGGCTTAAGTGTTAGAAAGTCACTTATATACAGAAGCAACTTCATTTTAAATCAAGCAATTGAGCTAATACATCACAAGGCAAAGAAGGAATCAACAAATCCACTAGGTCAGAGCAGTAGCCTAGAGAAATGTGAAAGAGGACATGTGAATATGTGATCACATATTTTACTTAATTGATTGAAAAATAAATAAAAATAAATTGATTGAAAAAAAAATATGAAAGAGGAGTAGCCTAGAGAAATGTGAAAGAGGACATGTGAATATGTTATCACATATTTTACTTAATTGATTGAAAAAAAAAATAAAAATATTGCTGACACAGTAGAGAAATTCTACAAAGCATTTAAGTGATAAATAAATTTCATTATTCAAGTTAAAACAATAACATCCTATGATTCCTATCTGGGACTCTGGGAGCATATGGCTGCTAATCAACTTTACAAAGCTCTGGACAATGAACTTCATTGTACCTCAATGCACTAATGGCTGACTGACTAACAAACTATGGAGATGCAAACAAACTCAATCCTACATAATGAGCAAAACTTGACCACAAGTCTGCTGGCAGGCAGCAGGCTAGCAACCAAACTGGCTCAAAAGTTACATGACTGTAACTCTGTAGGAAAAAAAAAATAAAGAAAGATTGCTGATCCAGAGAGGTAACTTACTGATTTACGAATCATAGCCATCTTTACTGGATTATTTTTTATTCGAGCCAGAGCTTCTTGCTCCCTTTGCCGAATCATCAGCAGTGGATCAGTATGGAGTTTCCTCCAGGCATCATTGGCAGATTGTGGTTTGTCTTCAAACAAAGCTCCAGGGACAGCTGGTTGCTGCAATTTCGAAAATCAAATTAATAAGCTACAATCAGAAACTACAGAAGACCTCACAAGAAATACAAAAAGGAAGGAAGGGATGTATACATAAATAATTCACTATTAGGCAGCTATAACACATTGATAATAGGGATGTATACATGAAGGAGCCACAGTAGATTCAACCATTGCAAGGAGTCAAAGCATCTGATATTTTTAACAACTACAATATACTTTAAAATAACATTAACCATAAATTTGCCTGCATAAAGCACCATATGATAATAAAGTTCACACCAAGAATAGAAGACAAGAGATCCATTTGGTGGAACAAATTCACTTTACAAGGGATGAAACAGCCTAAAATGAGACTGCTTCTCGTCTAAGAATCACTGTTATGAGACTAATGGCCTCCAGCCTCCTTGGATACTTCCCAACAGATGGAGAACATAATTGTAGAATGCAACATCATTACCAAATTCCAAAGATACCTCATACTCATATAATGGTGCCATAAATAATTGTGAGGAGCTATATAGTATATACACTAAATGCATGATAGCACAGTACACATTTTCAAGAAAAGGGACAGCCATTGAAATAAAAACATAGGAACAATGGAACATTACTACAGTCTACAGGCTTGTCCTTCCTTGTAGAGCACCTTTAGGAGAGCATTCCTGCCTCTTACAGATGATCTTCAGCTCCCTAAGACTCTAAGATGACAACTTTACCCAAGAAACGCGATAATCCAAAAATTCAAGGCCCTGTTTGGTAGTTAGCTTATTGGGGGTATATTAGCTTATTTGACTAACTTTAGCTGATTGACTAGTCAAACAAGCTAATACAGTGTTTGGTACTAAGCTTATTGAAAGAGCTTATTCCACTAAATAAGCTCTTTTTGAAAAAGCTCATTTTAGGAGCTTTTTCAATTAGCTTATTCATTAATTATTGTGAAATTACACTTATAACCTCATTTAATTTAAAATCCTATCTAAACTACCTACCCCACAATTAGCTTATTGGTCATTTCACATACTCAATCACCTTTAACCTATCAGCTATTTACCAAACACTTTTATATAATCAGTTAATACAATAAGTTGGTCAAATCAGTTAATAAAATCAGCTAGTCAAAATCAGCTAACTCAATCAGCTTTCAGCTTTCTCCCAAACAGGGCCCAAGTCTTTAGGTGTTCTTGCGACAATATTACCATAAGAAATTTAATAGGTAATTCCTACATTGTGTGGGGTCCTGATGTAATCAAGGTGTTTACATAAGCAGCTGCTGGTTTCTTCTCTCCAACAATGGCATCATCATAGATGTGTTTACACAAGTATCAACCAGGAAAGATCCAACTTCCTCTTCTTTTCTTTCTTCCACAAATGCCCCAATTAGAATTTTTTACCACCATCATAGTAGGCTAAGATAAATCCAATACTAAAGCCCTTATCTTTTACTTTTGAAGCAATTCTTACTCTCATAACTACCCACCATACTCAACTGACACATATCCATCAACTTCATTTTACACTTAACGCACAACGATTGCATGAGAATATGAGGTACTGGGTGCAACGTATAGCAGCCCGTATGGTTGTTTGATTGAGTGAATTTCTGGTTCACGGATGAGGTTACAATACCTTCTATGATTGATGTTAATTACAGTGGTTTGAATAATCCAACTGGTTAGACAAATAATTTGAATGGTTGTAAGGCAGTAGCACCTATACTATACGGCTGCTATACGTTCCTTTCCCCACAATGAATCTCTAACCTTTCTCTACTCCACCTTAATGCCCGAGTCAGACCAGATTATCACAAGAAATCAGCTCAATTGCAGCCACCGGCTTTCCCTAAACCCCATAATTCATCTCAAATCGGAATTCAAGTAACACTAAATACTCCTACATATATATTTAGCTAGGTAGCCTATGTAGTGAATAGGCATGTTCCTACTAGGTAGCTTATGTATTCATCAATCAGCAAAAATCCTTCTTTAACATATGTTCGAACTAATTCAATTGACACACAAAAAAACCCCAAATCTCATGACATATGAAATCAATCAAACCACAATCAGATCATAATAATTTATAAACTCACCGCTTCCACCGATTGTGCTGGAGCTGATGCTGATGCCGGTGCTAATGCTGAAGCCGAATAATCAACACCAGGCAAAGATCCAAGTCCCTGAAATCCATCAGAAGTGGGTTTTCCAACCGCTAATCCAGAATCATACAGAAATTCCAATCTTTCCTGTCTCCTAAACAATCAAAAACAAAAATCATAGATTAGCAAATTAAGAACCCTAACCCTAAATCAGACCCAGAAACACAAATTCAAATCTATGAAAAGGGTGATACAATTGAATGATTAAAAGGGATGATTAAAAATTACGGGGTAAGGCCAGCTTGCTCTTGAAGAACACGGAATTCATCGCGTTCTCTCTCCTCGAGAATCTGCTTGCGAAGTTCCTCTAATTTGCGTTGTTCTTGTTCGTGTTTTTGCTCTGCTTTCCAAACGTTTTCAATGTTACGAAGGCTACCAGTATGCCATCCTTTCTTGTTCAGAAACTTCAACGCCATTGTTGCTGCTCCAAATCTACCTTTCTAAGATGATATGCTCTTCTTTTTTGTTTTTTCGGATTTTGCCCTTTTGGAGTATGTTTGCTTAAGGTGTTGTAGGAATTCAAAGACCGACTTTGACTTATGTATTAAAAAAAAAAAAAAAAAAAAAAAAAATCAAGAATGAAAGAAATTTCTTTTATAATGCTTCAAAAAAAAAAAAAAAAAAATTTCTTGGGTTTTTCTAAGCTATGCCCCTAAGGTAGTCGAGTTTCTAAGGTGTACCCATGCTTTTTCAAATTTCTTAGTTGTGCCCCTCAACTCACTAACCATTAATAAATGGTATCCTCTTTGGTACTTCCACGTCACCTAAAGTTAACTATAAATTTAATAAAAAAATGATAAAAGGTAAGAAAATGATACAAGAAAGAAATATTAACCACAACAACCCTATTAATGAAAACTAAAGCCACGAAATCACACTCTCAATTACCTTTTAAATAACTAATAAAGGTACATTTTAGTATTGATAAAAAGTTGAAGGGCACGGCTTAGAAACTTGAAAAAGCATGGGTACACCTTAAAAACTCAACTATCTTAGGGGTATAGCTTAGAAAAACCCTAATTTCTTTTTGTTATGATAATATCTAAATATGGATGACTATTATCCCATGTACAATCTAGAATATTCTAGAGTTGGGTATTTGGTCTTATCCATTGATGGAACCCTAAGAAATGTACATTATATATATCCCGTATTAGATGGAATATGAAATACAACGTAACAATCTTCCCTCATCTCTCTTTATTTTCTATTCCATATTTAACACGTTATCAGCACTATTGCTAGTCAACTGAGTAGGATTACCAAACATTTATCTAGAATCCATATTATTATTATCATGTAAGTATGATCGCAGCCCATAACAATTATAATTTAACATTTATCTACTTTTGCATGCTTATTTATTGGAATATCAACATATATAACGAATACAGAGCATGATATATAATTTAAGGTTCCATTTTTATTTTTCTCCATGCTAACATTCTCCCCTTCTATTTCGTTCTTATTTATGCATGATTTGTATCAGGTTTATTTATGCATGATTATAACGTTTAATAATAATAATAATAATAAATTGCAAATTGCAGCCCAAAAATGCTACGTAATAAATTGTATATTGCAACTCAATTCAATTTTTACATTGATTTGCGTGTTGAAAAATATTCCGTTAATGATTTAGGAGTTAATTTAACCCTTAAGGACCCAGATTACGAATTAATATGAATAGTTTAACAATGATAAATAAATAGTTGTGAGATTCGATCCAATATAAAATCATTTTTGTAGATCACCCCGACCCAAAATCTGGTTCAAATGACTAAATCTATTACTTACAAATAATGTCTAAATAATTAGTTCCTTGAAAATTTCTTGTATGCACTTCAATCAAAATGTTCTATTGTTAGTAAAGCCAACCCAAATTTATTGGATGTTATATTAGAGAGTTAAAAATAGTAAACTACGATAAGCCGTTTAGAATATTTTGTGTTGATTAAGTGTGATATGATAACTACTACGTATTTAATTTGGATAGATTACTCACTTGATTTATGTTTGACTTGACAACCAATTTAATTTGGAAAGATAACTTACTTGTTAAATCCTTCAAATTAGTTTTATTGATGGAAACACAAAAATAAGTTTGTCATGAGTTTATTAAAAAAAAAAAAAAAAGTTTGTCATGAGTTGTGAATAATGGCAGTATTTTTGTGTAGGATTGTAAGAACCACTTGTGTTTAAGGATAACATTAACCAATGTAAATACATTTAAAAGCAAAACTTTGTGAGATTGACTATTCATCATTTGTATTATTACACCAATGTATATATTTATCTATTTTGAAATTGATGTTTACCAATATTGATTTGGAGTTGTGAGATGTCAACAGAATGTAATGGGTAAAGGTAACGAAAATTTTTGAACAAGCATGAGAGAGACCTAAGATGAATTGAATGAAGTAAAAAATGACGTGAGAAAATTGATTTTTGAAGAACAAGAAATATATATCAGTGAATTAGTGAATAAAGCGGATATATTTTTTTTTTTGAAAAGCAAAAATATTTCATTAATTAAAAGTCATACGACATCTACAATAAAGATTCGACGTTAACAAATACATAAGATATTGAATCAAATAGAATATTCCTTCATAAAAACTACGATCGTCGAGTAGATCTTGCATTGCGGAGCATCTCCCGCTTATATCGCTGAAAATTACAGCCTTGTTGGAGAGACAATCTAACGATCCTTTGTAGCCGCGAGGATGTTTTCCTTCTGATTCATTTGTTCGTATTCGAAAACTTGATAACTTTTTCACCAACGAAATAATTTCACGACAATCCATTAGATCTGCTACCATGGATTCAAAACTAAGAAATTTCTCCCTCGAAAAGAGGAGATAAACCTTATCTTTCGAAAGAGATCGAAAAACCCTTGTCTTTCGAAGGAGATCGGAAACCCTTTCTTTCGAGGGAGAAAAATTCCTCCCAAAAGGAGGAAGTATTATTATAAACCTAATAAAAAACAATAAAGAAACAAGGATTGGGGCTTTCCACCGATTAAAATCGATGGAAGCCCCTTCAAAATTCAACAATAGAGGCTAAGGTTTTTGAGAGAAAAAGGAGGAGAGAGAGGAGAGAGAGGAGAGAGGCTTTTTTTTCATAAAGCGGATATATTTATATCTAGATAAACACAAAAAACATAAGTTAAGTGCTTGTTTGGCACTGTTTTTTGTTTCCAGTTTTTGATTTTTTGTTTGGTGTTTTCACTTTTCAGTTGTCAGTTTTCAATATTATCATGATTTTAATGGGTTTGTCTAATTTTTGTTTTATTATATGACATATATCATATGAGTTGAAAACCAAAAAACCAGTAAACAGAAAACCACAACGATGCCAAATGAACCCTAATAATGATGTTTTGGATTTTGTTTGATTATTATTGTTGTATATTTTATAGAAATTCAAAAATCATTACCAATTTGATAAAAATCCATCCTTACAGAAATTCACAATGATCCAAATAATTAGGAATACTATAAATGTTTGGCTCCCCCAATAAAACAAAATTAACAATTTCATCCTTTTCCCCTATTTTTTAGAAGACCGTTGAACATCTGGATAACGGCTAGTTTCTCAACTTCATCTCTTTCTTCTTTCAACGTCACATTTTCTCTCTCCTTCGCTTCCTGTTTCACTGCCTCTCAAAACTCCCCCTAATCCTAAAATCCAAAATCAATTGGAAAATTTAATATCTAGGGTTTCTCCTAATTGATTCAATTCCCCCAAATTTACCCCAAAATTCCCCAATTGCAACAACAATGAGCCCACCAACAATGGCGTCGGAAAACCCTAAACCCCAAACATCATCTGAAATCTCAACTCCAATGCCGACAAACCCCCAACAACCTCGTCGTTCTCGACCTAGGGTTCGTGAAGTTAGCTCCAGATTCATGTCACCTGCGGCAAAACCTCCGACGAACATCCAGAAGCAAATCCCATCAACACCGTCGGAATCCCAGATTTCTAAAAACAACGCTCTCCGACGATCTAACACCGAATTCCGACCGTCGCAGTCGAGATACGCCGACGAAAATCGACCCGATTCGTTGAATAGGAAATCCGTTAGCCCGGTTCGTTCTTCGTCGAAACCTAGGGCTGCTGTTAAGCTTTTTAAGGAAGGTTCTAGAACTGATACACCGGTGCCAATGCAGGTGGGACCCAGGTTGGTGAGGCAACGGAGTTGGGATTCCGCCGCCTCGAAGTTGTTGCATGCTAATGGATTTTGCTCCAATGGTGAAAATGATGATGATGATGGTGGTGGTTGTTCTGTTAATGGGGATTGTGAGTCAGTGAAATCGGAGCCGAATGATAACAAAAACAATTGTAATAGTGATGGTAATAATAATAATAATAATTGTCAAAGGAATTCTACGCCGTGTTCTAGATCAATGGAGTTTTCGTATTCGAATAATGATCAACAACAACAACAAAATGGGGGGTTGAATTCTGTTAAGGGTGTTAGTAATGATGATAAGTTATTTCATAGGTCAGTGAATAAGGTGGCGCGTAGTCTTAATCTTCCTCCGATGCCTCCTGGACTCGGGTTTTCGAGGCCTCAAGGGGGGACGGTGGAGGTGAAAAAGGCGGTGGTGAGGAAGGGTGGCAACCAGCTAGATGATGCTCAAAGGCTTAAGTTGTTGCATAATCTTCATCTTCAATACAGGTTTGCTAATGCTAAGGCTGAGGCATGCTTGAATTCTCAGAAAAAGCAAAGTGAGGTGAGTCCAAACTCCATGATGGTATTTGATATTTTGTGTTTTAATTGTGTGTAATTTTGTATTGAACATTTTAATAGATTTCTTGATTTATGTTATGTAGTAGTTATTAGTTAATCCCTGCTAAAATGTGCTAGAATTCGACTATTTGATGTTCTTTAGAGTGTGATAACTGATAAGTTCCATATATTATGCAAACTAATGGCATTGTGAAAGAAACATGATGTGGATACTTGACAAACTATGGTATGCTATTTACCTGAATTAGAGAAGCTTAATTGAACTATAAACATAGATTAGATCATCAGTTCACATATTGTGGGCTTAGGAATCAAAGATTATTATATTGTCTAGCTAAGAAATATGCTTTGTGAGATGGTAGGTTATTTAAGGGACAAATGAAATTAGGTATTGTGTAATTGTAAGTTTGTAACAACATCAATTGGACTAGAAGCTAAGCTTATCGTAAAGGATAAGCATCATACAAATGATTCTACATAATTAGCAATACTGCACACAGTCTCTTGTGGTTATGTAAATCTAGACCGTCTTCAAATGCATTGTCGAAAACATCTTGTTCCAAACATGTAATTTTGTAAACTACAAGTAGCACTTTAAAGTGGAGGAAGGCATCTTAAAGAGAAACATGGGAATTTTTTTTTTGCTATTTATGTGCAATGCTTATGACTTTATGAGCAACATTTTGCTTCTCGTATGTTGTGGATCAATGTTTTAAATTCCTTTAATGTGTTGCAGAAACTGCTATATTCAATGGGAGTAAAGATATCAGAGTTGCAGGATTCTGTAAAAAGCAAGCGTGTTGAAGTTGGACTTCTGAAAGAAGCAAAACTTCTATCAACAATTCTTGACACTCAGGTAAGGCTTCTAAGCATTGATTTTGCTCTTGTGTATCTAAACATCACCACTCAGTTTGCGAGACTGGCAACATGAGAATCTTTGAATGCATCATATCTAGCACTAAGCTACCAATTTTATAGAAAAAATGAATGGAAGGAAGTCCACCATTCACTGTGAACTGGCACCTCTGCAGTGAACTAGACAGTTAATTGAAATTTTTGTATCCTATTCCAGTGTTTGGTTTGGTCATGAGGAGTTTTTTATTTGTTATAGCCTTTTCAAAGGTGGACAAGTATTGCCTTTAAAAACAAAACATTTTCTTTGAATATTTTTATGGTTTTATCTATGCCCGTCTTTCAAGGTTCAATTGATCTTTTCTGAAGTCTAGCTTCTCCACTGTCATTAATTCAAAGAGCACACTTTACGACTTTACGTTAATCTTCCAAGTTACTATCGGCTCTTGACTTGAGGTCTTTTATAGTAGTTATCGTCAAAGGCTCTTGGATTTATAGTAGTTATCGTCAAAGGCTCTTGGATTTCTAGCTTAGTAGAGAATTAATCAGTACTATACTTTCTCAGGTTCCCGTTTTGGACGAATGGTCTGCTTTAGAAGAAGCTTACTCTTCTTCATTGCTAGAATTAACTCAAGGTTTACAGAATATATCATCTCGACTTCCACTCAATGGTAATGTAAAGGTAAGATATACGTCTACTCCTGTGCTTTAACCTATCTTGAATTCTCCATGTTTCTCTTTGATGATGTATATGGGTCTTTTTCCAGGTTAACGTCAAAGAAATAAATGAAGCAATGAATTCAGCATTGAAGGTGGCTGAAAGCATCTGTTTGCAAGTGCAAGGCTTCGTGCCCAAGGTGAAGTCTTGTTAATACTTTTATTATGTGATATAATGCAAATGAAATTGAAAGTTTTGTATACGCTTAAGATTCAAGTACTTAGTATACTGGATGTGCAGATTAATCTTAATATGCTTGACTGAGACTTTGTGATATACATTTGCAGGCAGAGCAAATGGATGTTCTCATATCCGACTTGGCTAGAGTACATAGTGGAGAAGTCACGCTTGTTCAAGAGTGTGGTGATTTATTGTCAAGGACGCATTTGTCACAGGTAATTTTACAGTACTGCTATTTCAATTACCAAATACTTTACCTGTCCCTAATATATACCTGTGGTTTGTTTACTCAATTCTCTGAAAATATAACCTCTTTAGTCTTTACAAATGTGGCCTATCGTTTTAAGGGCATAGGGTATTGACTGTGCTATTTCTCATTGTTAGTTTAACTAAGATAGATGGTGCTACAACTTAGACCTGACAATATGCTCCTGTTATTTACATAACTTTCAGATAGAAGAGTGCAGTTTAAGAGGACAACTTATTCAATTCCAGAAATGCAATCTAACTGGATCCAAAGAGAATCAAATTCTAACAGGATCGTCTTAGTTCACACGCCATACTTAATCGTCAATTTGATCAGTTGATCGTCTGATGGTGATAAGCACATAACTCAAGTTCAAGAGGTCAACAATTCAGATTCACCCACCTTCTGTATGTACTCATTCATCCTCATTCTTTTGCTACGTCCAGCCAACAGAGATTTTTTTGGAAGGGCTGTTGATATCGAGAGTAAAGATGCAGTTCCATAGGAGTATTCCTTCAGTAATTGCATCAAATCTGTATAGTGTAACTCTATCATTTGATACAAACAGAAAAATCAAGGAATAGTCCCTTGTGGCTTGCGAGGCGATTGGTTGATCAATACTTGTCTGTAATCAGTTTGTCTAACCCCCCCCCCCCTTCTATCTCTCATTAAAAGGAGAATAATAAAAATTGTCTCAAATCATACATTATGACATTCATTCATTTATTATAATGAGGCCAAATTAGAAAATAACACTTGTTAAAAAACCGTATTTTGATTTTAACACCTTAACATTTCAAAGTTTTATTATAACACCTACTAAAAAATTAAAATTTTGGTTTCACCACCAGAAAACGGATTCCGTGACGGAAATTGTTAGTGGGTCCCACAAGTTAGTTCACTTTCCAAATTTCTTCCTATTCATTTCGACTATTTCCCCTTCCATTAATTACCCAACCAGTTATCCTTCATTTATACTTATTCTTTCAATCCCACTCACAATTTCCATCCTTTTCAAAAACCCCATTAAAAAAAATTTGATCTTTGAAAAATTCTGGCAAAATTCTTGATTTTTTTTAATTTTTTTGGAAATATTTTGGATACCCATTTGATTTATTGACACAAATGACAGAAGGGGGGAGGGGAAGGGGGTTTTGGGTGGGGTTTCGGGGTGGTGGAGGAAGGGGGGAGGGGTTTCGGCAATTGGGCAGGTCGCCGGCGAGGGGTGGGGTGGGTGAGGTGGCTGGAATCGAAAAGGGGAGGGGATGGGGGTTTTGGGTGGGGTTTCGGGGTGGTGGAGGAAAGGGGGAGGGGTTTCGGCAATTGGGCAGGTCGCAGGCGAGGGGTGGGGTGGGTGAGGTGGCTGGAATCGAAAAGGGGAGGGGAAGGGGGTTTTGGGTGGGGTTTCGGGGTGGTGGAGGAAAGGGGGAGGGGTTTCGGCAATTGGGCAGGTCGCCGGCGAGGGGTGGGGTGGGTGAGGTGGCTGGAATCGAAAAGGGGAGGGGAAGGGGGTTTTGGGTGGGGTTTCGGGGTGGTGGAGGAAGGGGGGAGGGGTTTCGGCAATTGGGCAGGTCGCCGGCGAGGGGTGGGGTGGGTGAGGTGGCTGGAATCGAAAAATCTCGGTTGCTAAGTCCTCATTTTCTGCAACCTCTTCAGCTGATGTTGGTTCAGACTGAGGGTCAGTAGTTGGCTCCTCCATCATTCAAAATATTTGGAACTTGTGGATTTTATCAATTTTCATACAGACAATCTGGAAATAGTCGAAATGAATGGGAAGAAATTTGGAAAGTGAACTAACTTGTGGGGCCCACGCACAATTTCCGTCACGGAATCCGTTTTCTGGTGGTGAAACCAAAATTTTAATTTTTTAGTAGGTGTTATAATAAAACTTTGAAATGTTAAGGTGTTAAAATCAAAATACGGTCTTTTAACAGGTGTTATTTTCTAATTTGGCCTTATAATGATTGTTCATCAACTATTAGTACACTTGGGTCATAACTTTATTATTTTTGTAAAAAAACTTATACTTGTGACATACTCTCTATCTTTTAATTATGTGAAGCAGTGACAACTATATCCGGATGGAAGGAGTAATTTTTATTGTATGGGAAAGAAGTAAACTAAGAAAGTAAGAAGCAATTTCACGTTGTCAATAGATTCAAGCTAAATTGAGCTTTTTGTAAGTAAGATCAAATGTCACATGTCAAGCTCAAAATTGGTTTATCTTGCAAATATGCAATTAAGATTAATCATCATGAACATTGTGCTCATTAGTATGCTATTTGAAATAAACACAACTTATACTTATTCATGATGAATATGCAAAGTGTAACGATTTCAGATTTCTAAATCCATTTCAATCTCTTTTTAAAAATCCAACAAACTTCACCTAAAAAGTATTACCCAAAACATAAGATTGAATTTTGGAGTATTGAGTATATTGTTAGACTTTGCAACTTACTCTCCTTTCGAAATCTGAAATTGGGCCTGACCCTCAATTTTGGGCCCACATTTAGAAGAACTATAAATTTTACAAAGCAATATAAATAGAGTATCCACAACCACATCATTTTTATCATCTAATTTCAAGTTTCATGTAGCTCGTGTTTTCTCAAACAAAACCAATAGAGTATTCTCGAACGCTTTGTCCATTAATTAATATATTGCTTGTTCTCTCTCAAAAACAAAGGTTTCCTATGGCTGAAAAAAGCAACTCAACTTCATCAATGGCCACACAAATTTGCAACCAAATAGCCACAATTTTCACAAAGCCCACCACCACCCCTCCACCCTTAGACCTCTTAGTGGACCATATAAAGACCACCTCGGCCCAAAACGGCCACATCTTCGTCTATGGAGTGGGCCGTGAAGGTCTAATGGTTAAGGCCCTATGCATGAGGTTAGCCCATTTGGGCCTCTCAGCCCACTGTGTATTCGACATGACTACTCCCCCTATTGGACCCACTGACCTCCTTATTGCCTCTGCTGGGCCTGGAGGATTCTCCACCGTTGATGCAATCTGTGGGGTAGCTAAATCCAACGGTGCTAAAGTGTTGCTTCTTACAGCTCAGCCTGAGAAAGGATCCTCTGTGGAGTATGCCACTGTTGTTGCTCACGTGCCTGCTCAAACAATGGCTGATGATCATCAAGGTGTACACGTGGAGGAATCTAGGCCGTTGCTTCCTATGGGAAGTCTTTATGAAGGTGCTTTGTTTGTGTTGTTTGAAATGGTTGTGTTTAGGCTTGGTTTTGAATTAGGGCAGACCCCTGAAGCTGTTAGGTCTAGGCACACTAATTTAGAATGAAAGTTTTTTCGTTTTTACTATGTGTGACAAGTTTGTAAACAATTTCAATGGTCTTAGCTTGTTTTTTAAAAGAGTTTGTTTAGAGGTGATAATGGACCGGGTTTTATTAAACAAGTGCTTAGATTTGCATATTTTATGGATTGGTCCAATAAAACTGGTGTAAGGCTAACATAGCCCAAAATGCAACATAAGATCGATTTCTAGCTCAAACACAATCAAAATTAGTTAAGACGGTTAAGACTATACATATTTTTCCTAATTAATTAGAGTTTGAAGCTATACATATTTTTCCTACTATAGTGATATGAGCCGGCACTTCAGCCTTCTTCCCTGTCTTCATACGGTCATACCCTAGTGGCACAAATTATTAGCTTACATTTCCGTTAACCAAAAAAAAAAATGGATTAATATATATTACGGAGTATTAAACTTATATTTGTATCTTAAAAAATACGAAGTACAGATTACTGTTTTTATATTTAGCTATTGTGGTTGGTTCTAGGGCTGGATATATAAAATTCTACTTCCTCCGTTTTCTTTTACTTGCAACACTTCCTTAAAAAGGAAATGTCATAATACTTGTAACACACTATAAAAGGAAAGTTACTTTAGGGAAAAACTATACTATTTCTTTTATTTAAAGCACATGATCCACTAAATTACACTTCTAACAACCACTCATCCTATTTTAAAGTTTATTATATCATGTAAACCCCACTATTCTTAATTACCGCACTAAAGGGTGTGTTGCATCTAAAAGAAAATGAAAGAAGTATTAAATACTTGTTTTTTTTTTTTTTTGAAAACTTAAATACTTGATGTTTTGGTATCAAAAGTGCAGATATTTTTAGTAAGTTCCAAACCTATCAAGGCATGCATCAATCAATTCATTAGAGTTGATGTAATGGATTTGATAGTTGGCAATATCGTGCAAACCCACAAAGGTGTCAAACTCAAAAATTCAACACTAACAAAGACGCCAATTATTGGATGGAGATAAAGGGATAAGGGAAGACTAAAGGACTAAAGGGTATGGGTTGTATAAATCTATAAATTATTCTAACTTACTCATATAACTCATTGACAAATAAATAAAACCCGTAACCCATTTAGAGACAACAATAAAGTTGTTTCATTTTTTATCTACTTTCTATAAATTGCTTTTATTATTACAATAGTTTCTCATTTTAAGAAAGTTTCACAATTACTACAACATTACCGCACAATTTCTTTAAAGTGCTTTTATAATTACTGTACATATTTAATTTTTTAAAAATTAACAACCATAATACCGATGTATAGTAAAATCAAGGTACAAGAAATTCATCTACTATGTATTACAATGTATATTCCGTCATAATATTCTCGGGTGCACATAAAAGCTACTTTCGATGCTCCATTAGCTAGGTTAATTTTTCCCACAATTTGAACGGGTACGAAAGTAGCTCCACTCTAACTCTATCTTTGGTCGTATCACTTTAATTACTACTGTACTCAACTAGTCAAAAGAAAACACACCTAAAATTTTGTAAAAGGTCATGAAAGTAATTGAAACAACCCAATCCTAATGTTGAATTAAAGTGAATAATAAACATCTTAGAATAGGCCAAAGATTGAAAAAAAAATGTGGGGTCAAATGAGGAGATAAACACAACACAACCACCCAAAAAAAAACCCAAAAAAAAAAAAAAAAAAAAAAAACTAGAGAAAAATCCAAATAGTAGTAAAAGCTATAGTAAGTAATTAGTTGCGCATCTTCTTGTTGTTGTTGAGAAAGTTGGTCAATTATAATGCTTGGAATTCTTCATGGAAGGTGCAGTAATTCACATCAGTTTGTAGTGTTCTTATCACCTGCTTTGTCCTCTACTCGTGGGACCACCTGTGGGACACCATCCATGTTAGCTACTTTAATTTGCTAAATCATCAATTAATTGCTTGTATAAATCATTGATTAATTACTTAGATATTGATTTTAAAATTTTATCAACAATTATGTTCTTAGTGTATTAGATTATGCTATAATCATTATACAACATGAAACGCATTTTTTCCCTTCAGACAAAGGTCATGTATTATACTTGTATTTCGTATCTCTTAGCTTGATTAAATAAGTTTAGTATACGTTATTTAATTACGTAGTTTTTTTTTTTTTTTTACAAGACATTATTTAATTACTTAACATAGGTTTCATACCTCCTTTTTCTTTTTTCAAAATTATAACTACGGACTACGGAGTAATGGTATTTGATCTTAGATAAGGCAAAAGGCTACACATACAGTTGTTGTATGTGGTCCCAACATACAACCTTACTTTGTCATGTTTTTATTGGCTATAATAATGGGCCCATGTTCCATTAAAATTCAATTTATATTTGACTTTTAATTTTCTGTCCTTTTTTAATGATGTGTCAAATTTCTAATGGTGTTGTATGTATGGACAACATATAATAATTGTTTTTCTCAAAAAAAAAAAAATACAATAATTGTATGTGTATTTCAAATTTGGGAAAATAATAGAGAGGAAAAATATTCCAAAAAAGGAAATATGGCCGGTAATAAAGATACGAAGAAAAATATAATTTATTAATAAAAAAAGAAAAAGAAAAAAAAAAGAGAGAGAATATCAGACACACGTATTCATGTAAACAGAAAAGAGAAAAAAAAAAAAAACTTTATAAAAAAGTGAAAATGAATTGTCAACTGATAAGCTGCCAGGCTGTCACTAAAAAGGAAGATGAAGATTGGATATTTTATGATGCAAGATATAAAGAAAAAAAAAGATCAATACACGTAGTTGAAAAGGGCCCCACCTTCATGAAAAAAGATCAAGGTTGTGAACCGCCTCCACTCTTAAATATCTTTTCCATTTTGCCCACATTTTTTTTAACGATTTTTTTAAAGACGGGTGATAAAAATTAATCACAGGAAATTTGACACTTTACTCAGGATAGATTATTTAGAACAATTTGAGCTATTCCTTACTCGTTTTGCCCACATTTTATGAATTTTTGTAGCTGTGTTACTATTATTCGTATATAGTCCTATCTCGTATGCTTAAACTAAGTAATTAATAAACAAACTAATTAAACTCAAAACTCTTTTTCTAGTTAGGTGCTTAGGTCATGAACAAGGCCTATAGCTCAAGTTCGTTGACAAGTTGTGTGAGGATAAGTAATTAGCATAATACAAGAATTGTTACATTATTCCTTGATATTTTCCAATAGTAAAGAATGTCATATTTATTATTTACAACTTGTTCACTTATGTAACCCTTTTCGTCTCCTTCCATCCACTCTCTTCTTTTACTTCTATTGTACGTACACAATATTTCTTTATTTTTTAGTTTAACATACATTTCTTGTAAAAAAACTATTTTGTGTTTTCCATGAAAATTTTCATCATCTTTCACATGAACACAAATGAAACAATAGAGACAAAAGAGTTACTTCAGTGAGTACTTCCTTATATATATATAAGTATAAAGTATTACATTATTTCATATATGGGATTCTTTTGAATTCTATTTTTTTTTTTTTTTTTTTTTGACAAAATAAGAAGCACTTCGTATTACTTAGTTCCTCTTTATTTGATTACTTTACTTTATATTACAACCATGAGTCCATGAGCACCATGTATTCGATATTCCTCCTTTCCTTTCCCAACAAAATGAAAGAAATTCTGTCTAAAAAATGCACAAACATACTTCTATACCTGGTCATGTGTCATTTTATAAGGACGAATAATTCCTCTTTCTTTTTGCCTGTTACAAGTCCTGTTCACTCGATCACTCGAATATGCTGCATTTTTAATAAAATAATAATAAATTATTAACTCTTTATACTTCTTATATATTTTTTTTTAGAAAAAAAGCACACATTTTGTATAAAATGAAAAGATTTTCAGACACAAAAATGAAAAGATCTTAAAAATATCACAAATTCACAGGTATATATATAATCAATTAATTAAAGGTCAAGATTTTCACTCTAAAATATCTAAAGTAATCATCAATAGGCATATTCTGCGTTACTTTTCTGCGTGTAGGACACAATCACACAACAACTGCCTTTTCTTCCATATTTTTAACCTATTCTTTTTAAAGAAGTATTGACATAATCACCTATAATGTTTTTATTTTTTTTTTATTTTTTTTATGTAAATAAATGAACGTTACATCATTTATTAAAAGATCAAAGCAATATTCATGATCCTTAATACATTCATCATAAGTTTTATTTTAACATATTGTTAAAGATGAAAGCTTGTAAAAAAAAAAAAATCAATTATTTTGTGGGATGAAAAACGGAAATTTTGATTTATTTTGATAAAGACATCTCTAGAATACTATCTAGACTATTTTAATAAAATAATGAGATGTTGTTGATGTTGTTTTAGACAATAGAAAGTGTCAAAAATTATTACTTGTGAAAAATAAATAAATAGGAAGTACTTGATTTATTATTGTTTTTTATTTATTTATTTTTTAAAATAAGCTTAACAAAACAGATTTTATTATTACTAAAGGGTGGATAAGTTGTGTCTTTGTGAGTCATGTGACATGTGGTCATAAACTTGTTATAGGAGATCTTTTACTTGCACAAAACCTAGTCTTGACTCTTGAGTAAAATCTTTGTACATTACTATTATTAGTAAAAGTTCTACTGCTCATTAGATATTTAGATGGTTAAAATTAATCACCAATTTCTAATTTGTCATAAAGTGCCCCTCTATCATGTCAAGTGTCAATGAATCAACCACATATCCTTCTTTTTGCTTAATTCTACCATTAAAGCTAGTATATAAATTAGTATTATATTTTGCCCAAAATTCACATGCAAATTAAAACCCAAATAATTAGATAATTACAATAATAAAATAAATATTTTATGTATATATAAGTGGTTCTAAATTAAGCACTAATAACAACCTAACAATTATAATTTTGTCATAAATTCTCAAATTTACTCCATTGTAGTTAGTATACTTAGTTTATCACGAGATTCATGACTATTGAGGGGTATTTGGCATGAACAAGATAAAATCCTTTTGTTACTCCATAGTATTTATAATGTCACTTTAATAATTTTATTTCACCGCCACCCACCTCCTCCTCCTCCTCCTCTACCACCACCACCTAATCCAACACCGCCACAAATCACCGGTACGGTCACTTTCACTAGAACCTGACAACCACTGCCGCTCATAATCCACCCCCCACCCACCAAAAAAAAAACCCTAGCTACCATCATCCAAAAACCAACAACCCTAGAAATTCAAAAAAAAAAAAAATCAACAAACTTGAATATACACTTTATATCATCAATTTTGGTTTTATTTTTATGCTAACCAATTATGATTCGTATTAGATGAGTTTAAAATCAAACACTAGTTAAAAACTAACTCAAGATCTTAAGTTTTCATAGTCGAATATATCCTGTAAACCCTCAAATATCACGTGACACAATAAGTAAAGACATAAAAGGGAGAAAGTATGAATGTGGTGTAACAACTACTAATAAGGGTTTTAAAAAAAATTAATTTAGAATCACAATTACCAAACACCGTATTTTCCCATTCTCTTTTATGTGTTAAAAGAGAGTATTTTCCCATTCTCTTTCTTTCCCTTTCCCACTCCCTTGATGAACCAAACACCCTATTGCATGCTAAAAATATCTAGTTCGAAAAATATCTACTCGTAGTTTGAAAATTAAAATAAAATAATTAAAAAAAAATTACCTGATCTATGATGTAAATCAAGGGTAGACTCAGAAATATCAGGGACAAAACGGTCAAGTCTTGAATTAATGTTGGTAGTATCTTCATTGCTGCTCCTCTCCATCAAATTCCGTACAAAACTTGCTTCCATTAATCTCAAAAAATCCGAATGTTTTTCGTTGGTCCATTGCATTTCCAACATCATCTCTTTTTTATTTTTCTTATTCTTCTTACTAATAATAACATTACTCGTATTATTATTATTATTATTACTATTACTATTATTATCATTATTACTACCACTACAACTCGTACCGATATCCTCCCGTCGGTCCATCTCGCCGGAAAATTTTCTAGATCGCCGGAAAAATATCGCCGGCGAACGAGTGATGAACAAATTTATGATCTTTTGGAATGAGTTTAAAAAAAAAAAGGAAAAGATTGTGTTTTTTTGTTTTTGTTTTGGTGTAGTTTCTAGCAATAGTTATCAAAGTAGTGAGGATTTTTTTATAGGCACTTTTTTTTGTGTGTGTTTTTGTTTGGGTGTGGGAGATGTGTGTTTGAGGCTATGGCCTATGGGATTGGAAGAAATGGATTAGATGTCACACAATGTGATCGTGTTTTGGTTTTAAATAATATAAGGTGTTTGCTTCAAATATTATTTTATTTTATTTTATACACGTCTTCTTATTTATACACTTTTGTCTCATGAAACGATAGAAGATTTTTTGGGCGATTAATAAGTATTTTACACATAGAAAAGTCATACTCTTTTTACCTTATTTTAGAAACTCGTTATTTTTTTTAATAGATTTAATTTAGAGTTGGACATAACATAACTAAAGTTAATCTAAAATAAATGTTGGTTACAAAAATATCTTTCATTACACATTTACGTGTAGGTCATGTCTCTATAGAAATATAGGTAGTAATATTTGATGATGATGATAGTTATTCTACTTTTGATTTTGTAATTTGACGCTTTTTGAATAAACCGAGTAATAACTTAATTAATTTATTTAGGGTATGTACGAGATTATAGAATAGGAACATTATTATCATTGTATATCAAAATTATCATGTACATAAGTGCATTTTATTAACTTTATTTCATAAATCTAAACTTATTATTTCTAAAATTAAAGTGAATACAAAAGTATAACTTGTACTTGATAGCAAAATGTGTAGAGAACGATTTTAGGTTTGTGATTTGAACAAGTATGGTTGTTAATAAAACAATGTTGGGCCAGCTGGAGTATTTTATTTGGAAAACAGGGTGATCAAACTGTACTAAAGCCATGCATTGCAAATTTGCAACATACACTCATACAAGATTTTTTTTATATATACAAGTATTATTTTTTGACATATGAATGAAAGATCTTTATTGCAACAGCTGTACCACCAATTAGAATTCAACCAATCTAACTTATTTAAAATTTAAATTTCCTTCTTTTTTTTTTTTGAGGGGATGATTCATGATACCATGATATTTGGCATGAAAGCAGTTTGATATCCATTTGTCTAGATTTGCAGGCATAAAGACACCTCATCCATTGCATGGACCTTGAAGTTGTGGCATTATGTATTTGTTACCAATTTTTTGTCCCCCTTAAACCATGTGCCATTGCCCGTTGTAGTAACTTTCTCATGTCTACTTTATTGCACTTTTTTATAAGTGTTTGTACACGTACTATCAACTATCAAAATATGCATGATAACCAATAAGCATGATCTGATTGAGATGGTTGAGTAATGACATCGCTGTTTGTCTCAAATTCTTGTAATTTAGATATCGGGTCAAATCTCATGAAGTTCATTTGACTCTTTATAGCTTCACAAAACACTAATAGTAACGGATTTAGGATTTTCGATCAGGGTCTTTAGGAGAACCGAAGAAGCATAAGCTAGCAAGCAATTAATGGTATTTTATACGGAATATAACACTAAAAGTACACCAATATTAAACGTAATCCCTAATATGGGCAGTTTATAAAATGAATAAAACTCATCCGAAAAACATATGGGAACACCGACCTCTAATAACACTTCCAACCACAAAAACAAACACCTCACCACGTACATCAAACTTATATGACACCTTACAAATTTTTATTTAAAAAGCAAAAGGATATAACAATACATTATGCTAATCAAGCTACTAAAGAATACTATTTAAGTACACCTATTACATATATATAACTAATCAGATTTTCCAAATACGGAGTACCTCTTTACAAACCTCCGAACATCTTCTTTCATAATAATTGTAGCACTTACATATCTAAATCGTCTAGTTTAAGAGCAATATTTTATTAACCTTATTTTCACTAATTTCATGAAATAAAGGAAACATATTAACAATTTATAAGTTGTAAGTGCAAAATTCCAAGATAAGAGTTTACAAGTCAAATAAAGATTAATAGGTTACTATGAGTTCAAATAATTTCATACATAATACAAAGTATTTTATAAAACTAGTTGAATAAAATTGAACTTAAAAAAAAACAAATAAATTAGAACTTGATCTTTCCGGTGACGATCCAAAGTAAAGTGATGGGGTTTAGATAATGAGTGGACGAATTATTCTATATTCGTGAAATATAAGTAGAAGATTGCATCATTCATTTTCAAACGTACACAACATTGCAAAAAATAAAAATATCTAAAGCCTACAAAAAAGAAAAAAGTGATTAAAAAATCAACAAAAAAACACTTTGAAGAAAATATCTAATGGATATGATGATGACGAATAGTTTTAGATCTACCAAAGATATTTTTATAGACGACTTCAACAGAATAATCTTGCATACATTGAATACTGCCTTGAATATTTAGTTTCATTTCTTGTCCAGTTGTCTCGGTAGAACGTTACATTGTTAACAGTTGATATATTTGATATCATATTACTATTATTACCTACCCAACTTATAGCACTTATTTTAATTTAATAGTTGAAATTTATATACTTTTACTTATCTATATAGTCCTAAATTAGTCTTAGGGTCTGTTCTGATTTACTGAAATAAACTGAGCTGAATCGAATTGTTTACGAGAAAAGAAAATTAGGAACTAAACTAAAATTAAGCTGAAGAGAACGAGTCCTAGTTTATGTGTATTTTTACTCTGTAGGTTGTAAACTTTGGTCGTTGATTGGATCCATCACTTATACGGGAGTAATTATTTCTTATTATGGTAGAATTTTGTGAATCGAACCTTACTAAACTTTCAGTAAAACTTAACAGATGTTGAGAATGTTTGAGTAATACTGTTGTAGAGAATAGCTTGCTACTTCTAGATTATGCAGGTTGCAGACACTTACAGTAGATGTAAAATGATCAGTTTTAGAGCAGTATCACTCAAAGTCTCAAACTACTTGTATATAAACATTGAATGACCAACATCAACTTGCATTTAGAACCTAAGGTGTAAAAAAAAAAAAAAAAAAAACTCGGGATGATATAGCAATAAGAACTCCCAATCAAACAAATGATCCTCTAAAGGGATCTAAAATTATACAACCACCAGTGCTCACATTCATAGTAGTAGGCATAATGATGAATGCGGAGCAAGCTGATCCTTTGAAGTTAAGTTAAAGGCTTAAGCAGTAAGCAAGATATTCCATCATATGGTGTCACCTACAAGCTACAGCATGTTTTCCTTGCAAAGAATGGAGCACCAGAGCAATTACTTCTTCATGAGTCATGGGATTTCTGTCCTAAATCAGCAGTTTCATCATAATTGTCTTTGATAAGCAAGTTCACTTGTTCTTGAGTTGTGCAATTAAGTAATCTACCAACAGGAGAGAATAAATCTTTCAAGTATCTTACCTGAGTTTAAAACAGGATAAGCAACCAACATTCCAAAGCAAATATGCGCATTATCTTCTAAGCATGTTACTCATGAATAGTGACATGGTACATATCATCAGTCTCACTTTTTATGCTAAAATCAGGGCAGCAGATGCCCCTTATTCCTTAGAAGTAACTTGCTCAAGCTGTCAAGCAACGAAACTGTGTCTTCATACAATATACCCAAATAAGTAAATCAAGCCAATGAAAAATCACGAAAACAAAACCAGATTCACAAAGCTAAAACACAGTTACCTGAAAACTAGCAGTAGTACCACCATGAAGGGAAGACATTTAGACAATGCATACTGAGTGCAGAGAGATTGCAGCACAAATATATCCAAGTATACGTATTATTACATTACAAATTTACAAGTAAGCCCTTTCTCTCATGCAATTGTTTCATCAGCAGAATCTACCATTTTATGCCTTGTAGTCCAACAAACAAAAGGTATTGATGGTGATGAAGAGCTCATCTTCCAACAAATACAAAATGCACATAAGAGTTAAGGATCCTATATTTTTGAGATCTCTAATGTATTAGGCGCGCACACAAAAAAATTTACTTCAAAGATCTCAGGCAAGAATTTTCACCAGGATGGCAGGATACACAAGCTTCTACCTGAGTAATTCAAGGAAGCGGCCATTTTATACCATGCAGCAGACCAACAGAACATTAGGTATCAATGGCGCTAAAGAGCTCACCTTCAGACATGAGTAACAAAAATGCAAGTGCAGTCAATGATTTAGTTTTTTGAGCACTTCAAAGGTCTTACATTTCAAGAAACAAGCACTGTGAAAAGTGTAAGTACTGGATAAAGATAAGATCGAACATGAAGAATATAGAGGGACAACAAAAAGATAATGAAATCCAAAAAAACCACTTTCATTAATAAGAACACCCAGCGTGTATTGTTACAGTGACAACCCTCTCCCTACCAAAAATGGTCAAGAAAATCTATGCCATCCTTGAAAAATCAAGGAAAGTATCATGAAATATACAAAATTCCACGCCTATAGAAAGCAAGGTATGCTGAGGTGAAAACAAACCATGTAAAGGAAACCCACCAAGCTAAAAAGAGGGCAACCTCTTTAACAAATACCGAGCATGGGAGCAAACCACAAACCACTTGAAAGTTCTCAAATAACCCTTCATCAACCTGAGACAATCCCAACGATAGAAGCATCAATGCAGCGGGTGCAAAAAATTGTAGAACTGCGAGGCACAAGAAGTGATTGTGCAAGAAAACCTTCGCCCTACTGTATTCCATATCAGGAACTACACTGGCATGCAACCTCTGGTACCATGATAACACAGCCTCATTCAAGTACGTTTGCAGATTCCAACGCAATGCAATAACTTGCAACACCCCCGACAGCAACAAGCACAACAGCCTAAACTTAGCAAAATCGGCTTCAGCCATACCCACATTGCCAACCAATCTTCCACTATTGTTACTACCAACTTGTGATCCTTTACCATCACCAATGTTTTTGTTGACAAGAATTTCAGCAAATGGGTTGATCCAAAGCAAAGCAGTGAATCCCAACAACACATAATTGGCATAGAAAAGAACTTGTGCAAACCATCCACATGAAGTTATAGACAAATTACACCTTATTTGATCCGTTCCAAGCCAAAAGGCTCGAGCATTCTTACCAGCTCCCAAATACAAAAAGCCGGCGATAAAACCCGAAAGAAGCGCCACAAACAACTTCCCAAATCCATCAATTGAGCTAAATTCAAAGTCAATTATCCAAGGATACATTCCCACACAAATCATCAGAGCTACAAAAAACCCCAATACTCCAATCACCAACCCTAACCCCCTTTCAGACCTCTTAGATGAAGATCTTTCAAGGGAAACACGATAAAGCGAAATCAAAACTCTAAAAATCCCTAAAACCCCAATTAAGATTGGAACTAAAGATCCACTTTTCAAAACCCCAGAATTTCCATTACTATCATTAACATTAACATCATCATTACCCACATTCAAAATCAAATACTTGTGCAATAAAAAGCAAGAAAAAGCAACAAAAAAGCAATTGAAACAACTTCTATAACTATCATAATAAAGACGAGAACAAATTTGGGCATCACCTAATCTCAATCGAAAGATCTGAGCTTTACTCTCATCAAACTCGAATTTCTCCTTGGGTTTCTTCCTGTTCCTGAGATCAGACGATGTTCTTGAGGAAAGAGATTGAAACCCATTAAGATTTTGATCCGAAGGTCTTCTAATGGCGACTTTTGGACCTGATGATTGAGTTGGTTTATTGGGGTTTACATCATCTGGGTGAATGTAAGTGTTGAGACCTTGTAGTAAGAGTGATGGGAGAGAGATGAAGTAGAGGAGGAGAGAGATTGAAAGGGAAAGGATGATTTGAAAGATCAAGTTTTTGTATGAGATTAGAATTGTATACATTTCTTAGTGATTGTTGCTTGGATTTTGTAATTGATTGCTTCATATAAAATGGGAGGGAGTGAGAATTGATGAAAATTCTCAACTTAAGAGTTAAAGACTTTTTGGTCATTGTTTGTGTCTTTGTAGAGAAGACGTTGGCGACTTGGGTCGGGAGACTCGGGACCAAGCACCAATGTGGATGTCTTGGATCCGTCCAGTCACTTGACGATTTCAAGTTCGAGTTAGTTTTGTGGCTTGTAACTTATCCTGTACGAAGTATTTCATAGTGTTCCTATGTTCATTTTTTATATACTCTTATACGGAGCATGAATCACTTTATTTTCGCTCTTCTTTTAGATTACCAAGCTGTACCACCTAGGAGTGGCCAGGGTGTTTGTCGAGTGGATGAAGGTGGTAGTCTACAACTTCTATGTGAATAAAATGATTGTTCACTTGTCTAGGCACATGGCCTAGTAAAGTGTAAGTTAGAATATTTACATAGTTACCTACTCTAATTCTCAATTAAGATTAAATTAATGGTAATGCCGGTAAGACAGTTCATACATAACAATGTATAAGTCAAGTGTATCGATAAGGGTTGTACCTTACGACTTTAAAGTTTGGGGTTTAACCCCACATCCTATTGATGATATTTTGTGCACATAAGTAACATGAATTATGCTTATTCTAGACCTAAACTCCTAAAGCATGTGAACTCTAAATACTTCGCAAAAAAGCCAAATAGTGATAGAATCGTTGTTACTCCATTCCCCATACCAGCAAAGTCCTTAAGTTTTCCGTCCCAAAATTTCCATAGGAGTTGACACTAGCTCTTGGAATCATTGAGCCCACTAGCCCAGCCTCAAAACTTATGTGACGCCACCCTCATTAGTAGAGTTATTATTCGATTCTTTTTTTCACTTACTCATAAAAACACCAAGTTAATGTAATGCCTTTATTTTATATTAATTGTTTTCTTAGGGCCTGTTCCGATTGACTGAACTCAGCTGAACTGAACTGAACTGAGCTGAGCTGAACTGAACTGAACTGAGCTGAGCTGAGCTGAACTAAGCTGAGCTGAACTGAACTGAACTGAACTGAACTGAACTTATTAATTAGGAATTTTTAACTACGGATTAGTGATCTTTGATTATTTATTGATTATTTATTACTATACATATGTGTATATACAAATGTACATATTAAAATATTTACGAAAAATATACTATATAATTATAATTATAAAATGTATGGAAAATATATTAAAAACTTGAAACCTCTAAACATTTTAAACACATACACTATTTATTATTATTATTATTATTATTATTTATTGATGATTATTATTATTATTTATTGATTATTATTATTAGTATTATTATTTCAATTATTATTGTTATTATTATTGTTGTTGTTGTTGTTAATAATAATAATATTATTATTATTATTATTATTATTGTTGTTGTTGTTGTTGTTTTTGTTTTTGTTGATGTTGTCGTTGTAATAAGAGATTAAAAGAATGAAATTTGGCTTTATATCATTAGCAATATCATTAGACATAAATTAAGAGCTGAGCTAAACTGAACTGAACTGAATTTCAACGGAACAGAACAGGCCCTTAGTAGTTTTACCGATGATTGTTATTACTTACTTCGCATTAGTCGATTAGCTTGACATGTAGTTGGATTTTTATTTGGGTGGTGGCATAGGGTGAATATGATGAAATTAAATTTATACATTGAATATGAATAACCTTCATGGTGGTAGATAATTGATGAAATTGAAATTTAAGATGAGTACTACCGCATGTATGTATATACACGTTCCAACCATTTGCCTTTTGTACCTCCGCTACTTTGAAGTAAAGATGTTAAAAACTGACCGGATCGATATTGATCCGATCCGATCCAAACTAGTCTTAAAAAAAAACTCATTTTAGATTTTGATTCGCATGAACACTGTAAATTTAGAATTTAGCACGACTCATGAATCCAAATTAACACCTCTACTTCCAAGCCCCAACCAGGGTAACAAACCACCATGGGCACCATCGATCCTACTTACTCGTATATACTTAACCAATCGAATATCTTTTGCAATGGTCTTTATAACAATACCAATTTGAGGCTGCACGTACCACTGGTATCACCATCATTTAGAAATCAAAATCATATTTTTAACAAGTAAAATAATTTGTATGTTATCAAAAAATTATACATATATTTCTATTGCCAATTTGACATCATTGAACTCAACGTCCAAAACACTCAGCTCACGCTTAATTGCGTGCAGTAGTTGCATTTTGCATGTCAACGAACTTTAAATATTTGGACTAGATAAAGGGAGGATTCTGTAGACTGGTAAATTAGAGTCGGTCAAAATATTTGATATAAATTTTATTTCATTTACAAGCAACTGGAAATTAAAAGAACAAGTAAGAACCAATGAAATTTCAATGAAATTTCTTAGGAAGTTAAATTCAATGAGTAAAACTTTCCTAACAACAAGTTCAAAGTGTGTTTTTCCGTCTAGCTGGTTATAGGAATAAGTTGAAGGACCAAAATTATGAAACTTTCTACCGCTTAAAAGTATACATTCAAAACTTAACTTATTGAGCTTATAACTTTATTGTTTATAAAAGATTAAAGGTGTTTCTGTCAAAAAATAATAATAAACGTTGTGATAAGTTGCTATAAGTTGTTCGTGTAATTTGTTATGGAGATCGTCAATTCATCGCCATGAAGGGTTGAACTTAAAAATCAACATAGTACAATCATGTAAACGTATAAGTACTCCGTATTCTTAAATTTTTAATAGATGTATCCCAAATTAAATGATTAAACATTGTCATATTTTGACCGACAAGTAGGTACATAAATACCACCCTAACTCATTCACATTTGAACTTATTTTAATTAAACTAAAAGTGAAATAGTAATAATACATCGTAGTTGAGAATGAAGAGGTATAATTGATCAAGGGATGAATTATGCATGATAAGGATAACTCGATATAGTCTAAAAATTGGAAGTATCACGGTATGATTTTATTTTTGGTGGTTATAGGCCCAATAATCACCAAAAATAAATATGGATGATGGATCAATTTATTTTTGGTGATTATAGGCCCAATAACAAAACGGAGAAATACAATCCATTAAGGTATTCAATGAAAAATAAATCAATATAGATATTTTATATGATTTTTTCTCATTAAACTCACATCAATTTTATGTCATACATATCATATAATCCAAGATATTTTTGTTACAATCAGAGAAAAAAACAAAATAAAGTAATTTCTGTTGCTGCCATATATATCAGGACATATCACAAGTCACAAGATAGTAGAACTACAATTTCTAGCACATTCTTTTTAGCCCCATCCACAACCCGGAGTATTTTTATACGATCAAGTAATTTAATGGTAAGAATTTTACCTCGTAACCTTTAAATAGACCCAATAGTCACTTAGGTAAGAAATTTCCATCCTTATCTTCCTCCCGATTTTTTAAGAATGTTCGCTCCTAACTTAATTTCAATTTATCAATTGACTTATACGAAATTTCAATCTTCTTAAAAACACCCTTGCTCACCTACCAAAAATATCCATAGTATACTTTACGTAGTACTACTATACCAGTATAGAATTAAATTATTAAATGCAAATATTATTCTCTTGCAAATAATCTTTCTTCTAGAAAATTAAAATATCTTATTTATGGGGTCCTCAAAACTATCGGCCATTAATAGACTACCACGTACACACAAAAACAGAACATTTAAAAAACCTCCCACTAAATTAAAAATAAAAAAGAAAGAAAAATAAAAATCATCGGAAGTTTCTCGAAAGCAATAACGTAGCTTCTCCTCCTTTCCTTCCTAACCAATTTCTTCCTATCTTCTCCCTCTTTTTCCAATTTCTCTCTCCTCTACTCTTTTTCAGACATTTTCCAGATCTTCTTCTTTTTCCTTCACTCTTCTTTTTCACGCTTAAATCTCGTATATTCTTCAGTTATTCACACCTTTAATTGATCATATTTACGTAATTTATCGATTAAAATTAAAGGAAAAGGAATTTAGATTGTTGTTGATCTGAATAGAAGTGATTTTCCGGCGATGATTCCGCCGGCGATAGATGAAAATGTAGCCGGATCCGGCGGCGGGAGTGGTGGAGATTCTCAACGGTCAATTCCGACGCCATTTTTGACGAAAACTTATCAACTGGTTGAAGATCCTTCCATTGATGACGTCGTTTCATGGAATGATGACGGATCTAGCTTCGTCGTTTGGAATCCTACCGTCTTCGCTCGCGATTTACTTCCTCGCTATTTCAAGCACAACAATTTCTCCTCCTTCGTTCGTCAGCTCAATACCTACGTAAGTAAATCATGATTAATATTCATCAAATATGATTTTCGAATGAAATTCAAATTCAAATGTTGAATTCCGTTTCCACGCGATTTTTTAGGGATTTCGAAAAGTAGTTCCAGACCGATGGGAGTTCTCAAACGAATCGTTTCGAAGAGGTTCGAAACACCTACTCTGCGACATCCAACGCCGGAAAACGGCGTAGTAACGGTGGCGCAACGGCAAGTATCACCGGGAGATTCCGGCGAAGAACAGGTGATATCGAATTCTCCGCCATTAGGAATTCCAAGCTTAGTTTATTGCAACAATAATACAAGCACCAACCATAACAACAATTGTAGCAGTAGTGGCAACAGCAGAGTAGAATTAATAGACGAAAACGAGAGATTAAGGCGAGAAAATCAGGAGTTAAACAAAGAATTAACAAACATGAAGACTTTATGCAACAATATATTTTCATTGATGAATAATTTTGCAACGTCTCAAGGGAATTCTTCAGCGACAAGTAGTAGCACGAATTGCATGAAACAGGCGTTGGATTTGCTGCCACGTAAGGAGTTGGAGGGGGTTAGAGATTATCATGACGGTGACAGACCTAAGATATTTGGTGTAGCTATTGGAATGAAACGAGGGAGAGAAGAAGAAGAAGAAGAAGGAGATGAAGATGGTGGGGAAGGGGAGGGTGTGGTGCACGTGCAGGATGATATGATGGAGACTGATATTGAGATTAAATGTGAGCCGTTGGATGGGAATGGTGTGATTGATAATCAGGAAACTCCTTGGCTTAAACAGTGTCACCGACATAATCAGAGGGTTTGTAATTGATTATCATGGTAATTAAGGTACTTAGAGTTAGGGGTTTTGTAT